TTGCAATGCTGTCAATAAAAAAGAGAAACCTGTTGCATTACAGAGGATGTTAGATCATTCGAGATCACTATGAGCAAGATCAGGTAATACCAGTTCTCTATAGTCCAAGAAAATACTTGTCAAAAAAATAATAATCTGAGGAGTTTGGCAAATAAACAAAATAGCTGATGATTGAAGCATAGGCTTTGGTCCTGTGGAAATCTGTAACCAATAACAATCCAGTTACCCTGAGATTCAAAATTAAATTAAATTAGACTTTTTAGGCAGCTTTTTTGTATCAAGGCCCCTCCTGAAAAAAAAGGTGGGTTTTAGGGGTTCAAGTGGTAGAAACCCTATTGTAATTGTTACAATTTCCAAGGATCAGCTATCTTTTCTAAAATTGATCGGGCAGACCAAACTGTAAGACTTGAAACTTTGAGGGATTGTATAGCCTACTCACAACGTCTACACTGTCACTAAGGCTCGCCCCAATCGACCTGATGGTGGCGCTACCAAGATCAAAAGTATGTAATGGCTCATCATGATCATAACCATAGACTGTGATCATAACTCAATTGTTTGCCGCGGGCTGAACTGTCTCTTATGCGCCCCCTGCTGGCCTCACTAACACCTCTTCCAGCAGAAACCTGGTGTTCTCAGGAGGTCTCCCATCCAGGTAACCAGGCTCAGCCTTGCTTAGCTTCAGTGGGCAACCAGTCTTGGGCTACAGGGTGATATGGCTGCTGACATACACTACCGTTCAAAAGTTTGGGGTCAGTACGATTTTAAATACTTTTAAAAGAATTCTCTTCTGCTAACCATGGCTGCGCTTATTTGATTAAAAATACAACAAAAATCAGTTATAGTATTAAATATTATTCCAGTGTAAATCAGCTGTTTTCTGAGTGAATATATAGTAAAGTGTAATTTATTCCTGTGATCAAAGCTGAATTTTCAGCATCACCAGTGTCAGTGTCTTCAGTGTCAAATGATCCTTCACAAATCAGTATAATATGAGGATTTGATGCTCAAGAAACATTTATTATTATTATCAATGTTGAAACAGTTGTTGGTCTGTCACTTGTACAGTTTTTTTTGGATTCTTTGATGAATAGGGTTAGGGTTAGAATCTTTTGTAACATTATAAATGTCTTTACTGTCACTTTCGATCAAATTAATTATTCCTTGATAAATAAAAGTATTGATTTCTCTCCTCCAAAAAAAAATAAAAAAAAATCTCACTGACCCCAAACTTTTGAACGGTAGTGTATATATTTTTTTCCACTGGAACAAAACGTTTAAATTAGGGCTGTCAAACGATTAATCACGATTAATGATTAATCGCATCCAAAATAAAACAACCTAAAAAAAATTAAACAATATGTGAAAAAATCACTAGAGTGTTTCTACCATAGGTTTCTACAGAGAGCTGTAAATCCACTAGTGGTAAAAATGTGCTATTGCGTAATAAAAATGCTCAGTGTGTCCACCAGATGGCTCCGATCTCATTTCAAAAATTGCTTTCATGAGGCCTAGACTTGACTCTAAAATGAAATACAGCTTTAATAAAAAATTGTTTTTAATTATATATATATATATAAATTTTCTATTATTTTTCAATGGGAAAAAATGGGTCTTAATTATTGCATAAATATTAATTATAAATCATAAAATTATCTCAAAACACCAAAAAAGAAAAGAAAAAACATTATTGAACTAAAATAATTATTACATTGATTTTACTCAAATAAAATGTATCTTAATGCCGCCCTCCGGGTCATTTTTGACCCGAAGGTCCTGAGTGTGGGTCTAAAATGAAGAACCCCAGAGGGTTAAGAAAAATATGTTATTTATATAAAATGTTTATATTTATATAAAATATACATTGTATAAAGGCTACATTCAGTCTATATACAGTATATACATGCAAATATTTCTTAAATACACATGCATGTGTGGGTGTTTATGTATTAAAAATAATTATACACAGTACACACACATATATTATGTAAACACAAACTTTTATTTTGGATGCGATTAATCGTTTGACAGCCCTAGTTTAAATGTGTTATTTTGGTGATCAAAGATGAGTTTTAATGGATAAAATTGACTAGGCAAGGCAAGGCAAGTTTATTTATATAGCACATTTCATACACAATGGTAATTCAAAGTGCTTTACATAAAATGAATTAAAATAATCAAAATAAATAATTAAAACAGTTTAGAATAAAAATAAAATACAGTACAGTACAAACAGTCGGATGAACAGTGGCACAGTGCTCATTCAGTAAATGCACAGCTAAACAGAAGTGTTTTGAGTCTGGATTTGAATATGACAAGGAGCACATCTGATCTCTTCTGGAAGCTGGTTCCAGCATAGTAGCTAAAAGCGGACTCGCCATGCTTAGAGGGAACCCTTGGTATTTCAAGCTGATGTGATCCTAATGATCTGAGTGATCTGTTGGGTTTATATTCAGTGAGCATATCTGCAATGTAGTGAGGTCCTAGGCCATTGAATGATTTATATACCAGTCAGGCCAGCTGACAGTCTTGCCTGGGCCCGGGACAAGATAATCTTAGATGGGGCCCCCCACCCCCCCCCCCCCCCCCCCCGATTTTTTTTATTTTTTATAAAACACCATTTACTTTTACCCAAAATGAATAATAAAAACACGTTTAAATGGGTACATTTTCAATAAATGTCTTCATCTTCTTTTCTGACATAGCCTACTGCAGTTCTTGTTAAAACACACTAGACATGCATAATCTGTGCATTTTGGGCACTTTTTGTGTGAAATCATATTTATTTTTTGTCCATCAAAAGTGTGCTTTCACTTTTAAGCATGAGCAGCGCAGCAAAAATAGACTCGGATCTGACCCATTATCTGTTCACCGATGATGACAGTGATGCATTTCAGCCGGCTTTTTATTTCTCATCTCCATAAATAGTAGTAAAGCTAATCCAAGGGCTAGAAATCAATGAATTCTTTGCTAATACTTCCTCGTCATCATGGAGAGCGCAGTTCGCACCGCTTTCTCCTTTCCACAAGCGTTTGCTCTCCCGTGGCGTCTGTCGTTGCTATGCAACAATGAACTTAGGCGCGCCTGTAAAAACGAGCGCGCCGCGTCGCTATTATGAGCTAATATCCAAAATATTTCCATATGTGGCTCTTTCCTCCTTTCTTATCAACAAGTGGATTTACAGCATACAGCCACCACAGCAGCAGCACCCCCGGTCGCCATGTCTCAGCGCTTTTATGAAGAGGACGCAACTGCACGCGCTTTGGGCATGCACGCGCATCCCGGGTTTGAGAAAACCTGGTACCGTGGCGTGACGTTTAAAAAGAAATTTGTACCGACTTGGTACCGAAGTGCCGGGTCTTTGACAACACTCATAAACGTTGGCTGCGCTGTTTCTTACCTTGCTCAACGTTGACTTTACTAACGTTAGTTCCAGCTTCACCGTCACCACCTTTTTAAAAATATTTGTTTAGGGCATCTCGAAGGCCTCTATTTTCTTCTGCTCTTTTCTTTTCTGAGCACCGGACTTGTGCTGACATTTTGAGCGTAACGTTAGCCTACTGAACTTCAAATCAAATGACAACATCATATTTCGATCAGTGGCCAAACCATTTTTGTTTGGGGGGGGGGGGGGGGGGGGGGGGGGGTTCTTGACCACTATTTCAATAACGAATAATGTCTTTTATGTATACATGTATACTTGTATAAATGTATACTACTATTTATTTATACTTACATAAAAGCTTTTATGTAACGCGCTGCTAGTGATCGCAATTCCCGTGATGTTCTCACAAAAAATCTTTCGATACCTGGAACATTGTGAATTGTAGCTACGTCTAGCGTCCTTGTCTTTCTTTAACTTTCTTTTTGCAAAACCACTCAATTGACGTCTGTCCAGTTTTGATTTTAATTCATTTTTTTGTAGCCGTTAAAAAAATGACACATTTGCACGTATTTGTTGTGGACCAACGCAACTCTGACAGATTGGGGAGGGGGGAGTGATAGTGGTCATGTAATCTTTATTTATTTATAATTTATTATTAAATCATTATTGTTATTATTATTGTTAAATTAGTGTTCATAAACGATTTATTTATGGTCTGTCAAGAATTTCAAGTTAATAATATAACAATTTACGAAAAATTTTTTTAAAGCTTGACTCATGTGGTGCCCCCCTAGTGGTTGTGAATGGTTGGTGCCCCTGGGCACTGGCCCAAGTGCCCTTATGGATAATCAGGTGTTACACCAGAATCTGTGACCGTCATAGTCTGTGACCGTATATGGGCGCGGTTGTCACTGTGCTGCGTGATCTACGCAAACAGCGTAACTTCTGACTATAAGCCAAAGGTAAGGTATTTACGAAACGTTTGTTTAGAAATGATGGTTATTTTTACACAATAAATGATTATTTGCTTGCCCAGATTGAGCTCAATGTGTTTTTCTTTTTTTTCAGAGTAGCCGACTACGTGTGTTTCCGTGTTCATTAATGTTTATGTTCTCACGCGAGAAGAGAACGTGCACGTTTAGGAAAAGTTTTTTTCTCAGTGTGTTTTGCTATTCAGAATAATATGTTATATTGGATATTATTTATTAGGATATATATTTAATTTGTGGAACCAGTAGTCAATGAAAGACATGTATGGCACAAAAAGATTATTTTTGTGTAAATTATTATATTAATGCACAGAATAATAATACAAAAAATCACTCAAAATTGCTGTAACAAGTTGTAAAGGTCACCGAATTGTATGTCGCAGACATACAGTAGGGTCACCAAATATGATAAGGTTATTTTAATTGTCACCGCATTCTGTTACCCTCCTCTATTTCACTCATAATGAATGTGACACACTCCAAATTCACTCTGATGATGTGTGAACTCTCCAGCTTCTTACAGTAGAAATCATTTTGGGCTGACATGAACAGAAGCAGACATACAGTAGGGTCACCAAATATGATAAGGCTATTTTAATGGTCACCGAATTCTGTTCACATTCATTATGAGTGAAATAGAGGACGGTAACAGAATGCGGTGACCATTAAAATAGCCTTATCATATTTGGTGACCCTACTGTATGTCTGCTTCTGTTCATGTCAGCCCAAAATGATTTCTACTGTAAGAAGCTGGAGAGTTCACACATCATCAGAGTGAATTTGGAGTGTGTCACATTCATTATGAGTGAAATAGAGGAGGGTAACAGAATTCGGTGACCATTAAAATAGCCTTATCATATTTGGTGACCCTACTGTATGTCTGCTTCTGTTCATGTCAGCCCAAAATGATTTCTACTGTAAGAAGCTGAAGAGTTCACACATCATCAGAGTGAATTTGGAGTGTGTCACATTCATTATGAGTGAAATAGAGGACGGTAACAGAATGCGGTGACCATTAAAATAGCCTTATCATATTTGGTGACCCTACTGTATGTCTGCTTCTGTTCATGTCAGCCCAAAATGATTTCTACTGTAAGAAGCTGGAGAGTTCACACATCATCAGAGTGAATTTGGAGTGTGTCACATTCATTATGAGTGAAATAGAGGAGGGTAACAGAATTCGGTGACCATTAAAATAGCCTTATCATATTTGGTGACCCTACTGTATGTCTGCTTCTGTTCATGTCAGCCCAAAATGATTTCTACTGTAAGAAGCTGAAGAGTTCACACATCATCAGAGTGAATTTGGAGTGTGTCACATTCATTATGAGTGAAATAGAGGACGGTAACAGAATGCGGTGACCATTAAAATAGCCTTATCATATTTGGTGACCCTACTGTATGTCTGCTTCTGTTCATGTCAGCCCAAAATGATTTCTACTGTAAGAAGCTGAAGAGTTCACACATCATCAGAGTGAATTTGGAGTGTGTCACATTCATTATGAGTGAAATAGAGGACGGTAACAGAATGCGGTGACCATTAAAATAGCCTTATCATATTTGGTGACCCTACTGTATGTCTGCTTCTGCTCATGTCAGCCCAAAATGATTTCTACTGTAAGAAGCTGAAGAGTTCACACATCATCAGAGTGAATTTGGAGTGTGTCACATTCATTATGAGTGAAATAGAGGAGGGTAACAGAATTCGGTGACCATTAAAATAGCCTTATCATATTTGGTGACCCTACTGTATGTCTGCTTCTGTTCATGTCAGCCCAAAATGATTTCTACTGTAAGAAGCTGGAGAGTTCACACATCATCAGAGTGAATTTGGAGTGTGTCACATTCATTATGAGTGAAATAGAGGAGGGTAACAGAATGCGGTGACAATTAAAATAACCTTATCATATTTGGTGACCCTACTGTATGTCTGCGACATACAATTCGGTGACCTTTACAACTTGTTACAGCAATTTTGAGTGATTTTTTGTATTATTATTCTGTGCATTAATATAATAATTTACACAAAAATAATCTTTTTGTGCCATACATGTCTTTCATTGACTACTGGTTCCACAAATTAAATATATATCCTAATAAATAATATCCAATATAACATATTATTCTGAATAGCAAAACACACTGAGAAAAAAACTTTTCCTAAACGTGCACGTTCTCTTCTCGCGTGAGAACATAAACATTAATGAACACGGAAACACACGTAGTCGGCTACTCTGAAAAAAAGAAAAACACATTGAGCTCAATCTGGGCAAGCAAATAATCATTTATTGTGTAAATAACCATCATTTCTAAACAAACGTTTCGTAAATACCTTACCTTTGGCTTATAGTCAGAAGTTACGCTGTTTGCGTAGATCACGCAGCACAGTGACAACCGCGCCCATATACGGTCACAGACTATGACGGTCACAGATTCTGGTGTAACACCGGCTCTGACTCCAGTCACGCAGCAGCTCTTCTGCCACTCAGTCCCGCTGAGGGGGGCGTGTTCCGGCGGGGAAGTGACGTTAATGCATTCCCTCTATAGTCTTCTGAGGCCCTGTCCCAAATGGCACACTTCATGTGCACTTTCGGTCTTGTGGACTTACAATGGCTGCCGCGTGCGCGTGTCCGTTAAGTCCGTGAGACCGCAGTGTGTCCCATTTGTCATTTTTAGATCTCAGAAGGGTGCTCTGCGGTCGATTTGCGCCCTTGATGCGCACTTTTGCCGAGCCCGCGCTGATGCGGACTCCACAGCAGACTTCTTCCCGACATTCAAAGCGGCGTTACGTCGCGAAAGTGCGGACTCAGAGGAAGACCGCGAGTGCTTAGGGTTCCATTTGGGACAGGGCATGACCATAGACTGTAAAAAAAGATGGACGACTGAACCCGCCAGAGTCCCGATATGGCGCTGACATATTGGAACTTGAGTCTGCGCAGTAGCGTTTTCGGGACCAGTCATGCGCAGTCGTGAGCAGGAAGTAAAGCCGCGAAATCAAGGCCCCGCCCTCACTCTCGTTGAATCAATCGCAAGCACACGCCCTGCACTTTTCTTAAGTGGCCTTGTCTGCTCCGTTCCTCTCCAATGATGTCTGCTGATTGCAGTACCTCGTTAAAATAAGGTAAATACAACTACTAACCACATAGTCAACATTATGAAAAAAAGTCCGTTAGTACTTCAGTGACTACTTCGCACAGAGAAGCTGTCAATCACAGCTGTCAATCATGATGTCACAGCACCGTTTTTATAGCATCAAATAACTAACTAAAAACTAACTTATTTTAAAAACAAACACTTGAAATTACATCAACGTGATAGAAACTACAGTAAATGACAGAAATTATCTTTAGCAAAAAGATATGTGAAGTGTAATTTAATTATTTAGTTGGTCTCACGTCCCGTTGAATAACATGGGGAGGCGGGGTTTATGACCTATACTAGGACCGGTCACCGGGGGGCGATCGAGACGTTTTGGCTTCACTTTTGAGGGCTTGTGCGGCACGCTTGGGCATGACTCATAGCAGTGGTTATACAACGCCCTCGGAGTCGGTAAACCACCTCAGCACTTCCATAAATATTTGGCCGCATTAGAAACCACTGATCAAAATCACTGATTTACTCAAATGAGTCGGTGATTTAAGGCAGCAGTTTCACTTTCGATTGGAAGTAAACTGTCATTTCGTGTAATGGTGAACTGCGGACTTCTGTCTGAGAAAAATGAGCCAGGTGTGAATTAACCTGTTTACTATTTTCTTACTAAAAACATTTTTAATATGTAGAGCTGGAGCCTATAGATGTTATTCGATCTGCGTCATCAATGTTTGCGGCGGCCATATTGTTGACATAGAAATCACGGCAACTGTCAGTCTGTCAATTGACAAACGAGGCAGCGTCGGTATTTATGGAACGATATTCCGGACATTATTCAAAAGGAATTGCAAATTGAATTTGCAATTGCGTTTTCAATTTGTGGACGCATAAAATGTGACATAATCCAAACGCAATTGCAAATCGCGCATTACCGTTTGCATTTTCGTTTAAGCGAACGCACACTGACTGCCAAATTTCAAATGGAAAAGCAAAGTCCGTTTGCAACTGTGTTTCCCATATCTGACGAGTTTTGGCCCTGTCATATTTAAATAGCAATTTCAATTACCACGTCTGCTTTTTCACTTTCTCAGTGTTGCGTATGTAGCCAGCCAAAACTCAAAGGGAATCGCAATTCCCTTAGTATTTGCATTTCCGATGCCTACACGTAAATCTGTCAATCAGTGTCGAGGGTGGGGTTATGCTACGGGGCGTGTTTGTGTTGGGAAGTGACGTCACTCACAGTCGACGCCGACGGTCATGAGGTGATTAGGGTGCTTTTCAATATCCCTCCTCGTCTCCTCGCTCCTCCGTCCTCCATCCTATGACCCGGAAACCAATCGAGCTCAGCCATCTTAAAGGACATCTCAATTCTCTAATTGCACCGCGAGGAGGCGAGGATCGAGGAGCGAGGAGGCTTCCAGAGGAGCTATGAGCGAGGATACACAGGTGTACCCTTTGCGGAAGAGTTTTATCGACTTAACGTGACGCACGTATCAATTCTCCTCCCCCTTCACGTCGGTCACAATCATTTGGATTTATACTTTACTTTTGTAGTTTACATAAACCACACAACTCACATATTTCAACAAGGTATCTTGCTTTATTATTATTTATTATGAATTTCTTAAATAAACAAACTTTAACAACATAAGGGCAGATCCTTTGAGCACTGCCGATGACGCAGTGAAGTGACGCTCGAGTGATCAAGTATTCCAATGTATAAAAAAGCTTTCATTCAATTCCTCCGTCCTCATTTTTTTTCCTTGCAGCCTTCCCTCGCGTCATACAGGGGGTGGAGCTGAGACGCGAGGAAAGGAAGCGAGGAAAGGAAACGAGGATGCACAAATAAGAAATGAGAAGCACCCCTGGAATTCATAGCAGCTTTCTTTGGCCAAGGCCCGCCCATAAGGCCGTTTGACCGACATGTCAAACAACCAATTACAGTTCGTTTCGTTCAGCGTCAAGTTTCGGGGCGTGGAAATGTCCCCACAACAACAGACCTGCGTGCAACAAGTCAGTCAGCATAGAAAATCAAAGAAGGAGAAGAAAACTTCAAGAGTCTATGCCGTGAACCTCGCATACTTTTGAGAATCCTACGTTTAGCTGATCTTGATAAATGCTCATTGTCACTCATGTAAACACAACAGTTTTTCTTCCGCAATCACACGTCTGCGCTTTGTTTCCCGGCGGACCGAAAATAAACGCGACACTCGCGCCCCCCGGAAATCCGATAAAATTCAACCAATCAGATGATGACTTCGACATTCCTGAAGTGTTTCCAGTTAAGTGTACCATATGCATCAGACGTTTAGCCAACGTTCCGTGGGCGTGACGTCTGAGGCTGAGACTATGAGGTGATGCCCTGAACAGACGCCTTCATCATCTGATCAAGACATTTTTTTTATTGAATACAAAATTATACATACAACCAAGGCAAACGTATTCATCTACAGTGTCTAATAAGAACGAATAAAAGGCTCAACACAGTTTAAAGGAACACTCCACCGTTTTTTGAAATTGGAGTTATTCACTGTCTCCCCTACATTTAGATATGTGGGCAAATACATTTTTGTCTCAGTGCATGCATTGTCTTAGCCTGGCAGTGTTCTGTTCAACATAGTTTTCTATGTCTGTGGCAGCAAAGATAAAGTTGAGATGCAGACTCGCCACCTTCGCAGTAGTGAACGCGCCTATAGAGAGAAATGCACACTTCATATGAATTAGCCTACATAAGCAGAGAGCAGACACTTTCTTTTAGTTTTTAATTATTTGGTTTAAAAGTAGACATTTCAATCGTTCTATACTTCTCAGGTATGCGAGACAAGTAGGCCTATCTTAAACGCTGAGTTTCGGTTCATTTATGAGACGCTCCAGTTCACGCGCCGGCGCCTCCGTGTCCTAATTACCGGTATATTGTCTACTATATTTGCTTCTTATTTATTAATACAGTCAATTTGTTGATGAAACATTGATTAAAATGAAGATATGTATTTGCCCACATATCTAAATGTAGGGGAGACAGTGAATAACTCCAATTTCAAAAAACGGTGGAGTGTTCCTTTAAACTGTGTTGAGCCTTTTATTCGTTCTTATTAGACACTGTAGATGAATACATTTGCCTTGGTTGTATGTATAATTTTGTATTCAATAAAAAAATGTCTTGATCAGATGATGAAGGCGTCTGTTCAGGGCAACACCTCTTGACCGTCAACTGTGAGTGACGTCACTTCCCAACACAAACACGCCCCATAGCATAACCCCACCCTCGACACTGATTGACAGATTTCCGTGTAGGCATCGGAAATGCAAATACTAAGGGAATTGCGATTCCATTTGAGTTTTGGCTGGCTACATACGCTACACTGAGAAAGTGAAAAAGCAGACGTGGTAATTGAAATTGCTATTTAAATATGACAGGGTCAAATCTCGTAAGATATGGGAAACACAGTTGCAAACGGACTTTGCTTTTCCATTTGAAATTTGGCAGTCAGTGTGCGTTCGCTTAAACGAAAATGCAAACGGTAATGCGCGATTTGCAATTGCGTTTGGATTATGTCACATTATATGCGTCCACAAATTGAAAATGCAATTGCAAATACAATTTGCAATTCCTTTTGAATAATGTCCGGAATATCGTTCCATAGGTATTATCCATGGTATTATCACTGTATTTTTTTTTTTAAACAGCGTGATGGTGTGTTGTGTAATACACGTCTGTTCTAACAACAGCAATAAGAACCCCGGGGTTAGTTTTTATGATTTCGATAAGTTATCGACTGTCAGAAAGCGTGAAGGGAAGGAGACAGAGTTGAGCCAGCGCAGGAGAGGCTAGCTAGGATAAATAGGCTAAACTTTCAGCCAACTCACCACAGAAAAGTCTGTTCCCATCCTTTTACCACAGGTTTCACACATAATCTGTGTGGAATGCGTGTGCGGTGCGTATACGGGACAGAAGCAGGACGCGCTACAGTGCTTTACGCCGCCTTCACACTGGCAGTTGAAATCAGCTCCGTAGTACGCAATACGCCCCCAACGGACGTCGTACTACACAGTGAAAAGCGTCGGAAGCGGGTAGAACAAAAATGGCGGAGAGATTAGATAGTTTGATTCTGTCAGTTCTGTATGATCTCTCTGATGAGGGTTATAGAGATATTAATAGGAAGGCTGCTGCGTGAGGAAAGTTGCTCAGGACGTTGACATGTCAGGTCGGCTAAAAATGTGATATAGTGGTATAATTTATACCACTATATCATATTTAGTTCGATGTCTGCCTACAATTTAATTGTATTAACTGCCCTAATAACGTTAGCAAATCATGAAAATAAAAAATGACATGACAACTTAACTTTTAATAAAATAAATAATGATTTTATAAGGATAAGAATTCAGGTTTGTTTATCAGTATCATAGCAACGCTAACTTCCGCTGAAATTGTCGGATAGGAACCGTCCGTAGCTTTTCGCAAGAGTTCAATTTTTTGAACGCATCCGGATGACCAACGGACACGATTTCCTTCGCACCGCACTCGGTCGGACCCGTTTCGGACCCATTCGCATGCGGTCTGCGAATCTCCATAGGAAATGAATGACTTCCGGTCGTTTCGGAGCCGTATCGGAGATGATTTCAACTGCCAGTGTGAAGGCGGTGTTAGTGCTATATGCTGCGTTTGCAGTGCGTAGCTAACTGATCCGCGGCTGTAACGTTACCACAAACACCCCGGTACTCACTATTTTTATTTTAACACATACTCGCTATTTCAACAACGTAAGCCAATTATTCCATGCATTACTTCTATATATTAAGTTGCTCAAGCAATTGGTCAAATATGTAACCATGTACTTATATTAAAATCGCAAACATTTTAAATGAAAACTTAAAATTGACAAAAACAACCGACTCTCATACCTTTTCTTTTGCATTTACATTTTAATACAACAAATCTTGCATGTCACAAAGAACTTGTTTTTCCACCTCCACGAATGAGACGAGTGTCATTCATTATGTTGCCTTGTGTTGAGGTGCATTGTAGTTTGTATACGGATACTGTATGAACGAGATCGTTATAAATATCCGGATAAGTTACGGCTTGCAAAGTGGCAATAAGGACGGATCTTTACTTAAGCTTGATTGGTGTGGACCCACATCAAATAATAGCATTATCTTCTCTTGATACCGACGAGATGAAGCCAGGCTACTGCTCCCCTCAACTCAAATCTGCGCGCGGTTAGGGGCAGCAGGACAGATGTCATGTCAACAATATGGCCGCGGTTAGCTACTTCCGGTGTTTGCGAATAAGGTCTATTTCACTCAAGTCGTCGCGAGGGCCTTACCTCAGTATTACTAACGTTAGACTATGTAATGACGATATATTTTAACTGAAATCTTGTCCCATTCTCATCTGTTCTGCTTGATTTCGGAAATCTTGATTTTATCTCCTCCTTGATCCTCCCGTGGATCTCCCTACTATTTTACATTAATTGCTGTATGTGACATTTCCATGTGCTCTGTTGTTTTTGTCTGAAAACCAATAAGCTAATTCAAAAAATATGTTTGCAGTGATATTCCTACAAGTGGTTGTTACAAAATCTTTAGTCAACAAGAAGTAGATGACGTCTAATTAACCTGTAATATGTTCTGATTTGATGGCAGTTTTGGAAGTTGAAGAGGACGTAAACCTCCGCTTCGCGTGCGGAAGACACTATAAATTAGGAAAAAGTTATTAAAGATACAATTAAAAGTTTCTTAAGTATCTGGAATTATAACCACTGATGTAAGAATCAGCCATATATTTATAAACTGCTGTATGGAAAATTCGTTTGGAATAAAAATCTCAGCGTTACGTCGATTCTGCAGTTAATTAATATTCATGAGCCAAACATGAGCCAGACCTGTTTAAATAGCAGGATCTCTGATCTCGCGCAGAGTTTAACGGTCTTCTGACTCTGACTGAAACTGCGGAGCGTTTCAACGACTTCCAGAAATCATCTCTTCTCTTTTCCAAACATTCGTCGCGCTAGAAACTCTCAGAAACACTTGTTTACCATTGTTTACTCATTAATCGAGTCTTCTGTGAAGAATTAAGGCACATTTAAAAGTTTTTTGATTTCCACTTTCGCTCACTTTTAAAGTAGGTCAGTCAGTTCCTCTGCGTGAGAATGATGAACTGCGGTCTTGTGACTGAGAAAAATGATCTGGGTATGAATTGACCTGTTTACTTTTACTGTTTCTAAATGTATTTATTTATTAATATGTGGGAGAGCTTATGTGTTTTTCAAACAGTGAAGTTTGTCTTGAGGAGGGCTTTATCTCAGTATTGTTTTATAGTGAAGGTAGATTTTAACCGAAATATTTTTCACAAATGCCATATGTTCTTCTTAAACTCAGATTTTTTTAAAATTATATATCAAAACGCTCTTGTTTTTATGCTAATTTAGAAAGTCTAATAGACGTTTTGTGATGTGATGTTGTTATTCTGTTGGTCTGTGTGACTCAGTGCCTCTGAAGAGCATCTCAGTGGAGGTTCGTGTTCAGGATCATGTCTCCACAGTCTCCTCCACTCTGCTGTATGTGAATGAGGAAGAGCGCCCCCTGGAGGCCTTGTTCGTGTTCCCTCTGCCCGCTGATGCTGCTGTCTGCCACTTCAGTGCCAAGATCGGAGAGCAGGAGATTGTGGCAGAGGTGCAAGAAAGAGAAACCGTGAGTCCAAATATAAGTCTGTAGGAAGCGTATTTGCATAATGTTTACTGTGTGCAGCACGTAATATAATTGTGTTTTGCAGGCGAGGGATCGGTATGATGACGCTTTGAGTTCGGGTCAGCAGGCGTTTCTGCTGGAAGAGAGTGCAGAGAGTCCTGATGTGTTCAAACTGAGTGTCGGGTGTCTGTCGCCGGGTCAGAACGCTGCCGTCACCATCATCTACGTCACCGAGCTCGATGTGCAGGCCGACCACTCGCTGCGCTTCTGTCTGCCGGCTGTACTCAACCCCCGATACACACCAGCAGGTGCAGCAGCTGCTGACACACACTTTATTAGCGGAGACAAGCTGATTCTAACACACTCTCTCTCTCTTTGTGTGTGTGTGTCAGGTTCAGGAGCTGGTATAGTCTCAGAGATTTCATCAGTATGTGGAGCTGTTCCCTACACGCTGACACTCAGTGTCCATGTGAGCTCTCCAAAGCCCATCTCCAAACTAGAGTCCAACTGCACTCTGGATCCTCTAGTGTTCCTCCACTCGGATCACACTCAGGCTACGGTACTGCGTGTGTCTTCATGTGTTTATCTGGATGTGTGAGCACAGTAGTGTTATGCATGTGTTTTTATGTGTGTAGGTGAATCTGAGTCCTGGTCACATGTTTGATAAGGACGTTGAGCTGTTTCTGTACTATCAGGATACCCATCAGCCCTCTGCTATAGTGGAGGCAGGAGTGGCCACTGCCCCATCAGGTCGGACCTGCAGCTGAGCTCACTGGCATTATGGGATTGATTGATCAAGGTTTCACTCTCTCTCTCTCTCTCTCTCTCTCTCTCTCTCTCTCTCTCTCTCTCTCTCTCTCTCTCTCTCTCTCTCTCTCTCTCTCTCTCTCTATTTCAGGCTCTCTGATGAGGGACCCAGTGGTCATGATAAGTTTGTACCCAGAATTCCCAGAGAAAGTGATGTCATCACTAGCAACTCAAGGAGAGTTTGTTTTCGTGGTGGACAGGTCAGGCAGTATGTGTGATGTGATGCATCATGAGAAAGGAGCACAGACGCGCATAGAAAGCGCAAAGGCAAGATTTCAGATTCAAAACATTATGCTTTATAAGTGGAGGTTAAACATAGATTTATAAACATAGAACCACTTTCTTTCCTTGTTGAACTGAAAGAATGACTTGCCCTCTCTCTTCTGTCGATCCTCGTTGAGATGAACGATCGCTCATTTTGTTCATGAGTTAGATTCATGAACAGATTGTCTCTTGTTCAGACTCAAATCACTGAGTCTCGTTCAGTAAAGGGGTTATTCGTTCAGTAGGTCGAATGCTCCTTCACAACCCACTAGAATGCTATTGGCTATAGTCACACGGTTCAAAATATAGTTCACTTTTTCAAAAAAGAGGGACTTCAGTGTACAATAAATAACAGTCAGTGTATGAAAGTGAACAAGAACGATTTGTTAAGAAAATTCTGATTCGTTAAATTTTCAGCCTTTTTTTTCCAGAATTTTTAGTTGGAATTTTATAACATTTGAAAACAACAAAAAATGGAAAACTTTCAGTTTTTGACCAAAATTCATGTTTTTCCAAAACCCCAAACTATTTTGGCCGTTTTTTTGTGCAAAATTCATGTTTTTCCAAAAACCAAAACAATTTTGGCCGTTTTTTTGTGCATTCTCGCGGTTTTTGACGAGGTTTTGGGATGGAAAATCTTGCTGGCATCTGGTGGTAACCCTGGTTTTGATGACATGTTGAGTTTAAATATCTGTCCATGTCTCTCTGCTATAGGACACTCTGCTGTTACTGTTGAAGAGTCTGCCCATGGGATGCTACTTCAATATCTATGGATTTGGCTCTCGTTTTGAGTCCTTCTTCCCGTTAGTAACTATATCTTCATTCATACTGTAGGTATTCAGTTTTGAAATCTGTCAGAGAGGAGATGAGGAGATGTTTTTGTGTGTCTTTGCAGTCAGAGTGTCGTGTACAATCAGGACACAATGGATCAGGCTATGAAGAGTGTGAAGAGAATGAAAGCAGACCTGGGCGGCACAGAGATTTTACAGCCTCTAAAACACATCTACAGTCAGCCCTGTAACCCTGACCATCCCAGACAGGTACAACAACACCTCAACATGCATCTGAACGACACACTGACATTCATGTGAAGTATCAACTAGGCTAAAAGAGCGTTAGTTCACCAAAAAATATAAATTCTGCCATTATTTTCTCACCCTCATGTCATTCCAAACCCATAAGACTTTTGTTTATCTTCAAAACAAAACTGAAGATATTTTTTATGAAATCTGTGAGGTTTCTGTTCCTCCACACATGCTCACCTGCTCCTTGGTGAATTTTGCCTCAATGAAAAATTGTGATTTGGGATTATAAAACACATTAACTTGCATCAAAGTGAAAACCACAATTGACCGTGCTACTCTTGGCCACAATGGTAAACACAACATTCAATAACAGAAACTCCTCTAAATGTCAGTGTTGAATCTCTGTGTTTACCAAGTTTAGATGTGAGTAAACTCATCTAAACTCTTCAGAAGACTTGGATTGAACTGATCGATTCATATGGATTATACGTATACTAATGTTTTATGAACTTTTTTTAAGTGTCAAAGTTTTTGGTAAATCTACTTTCAATGTCGGAACAGAAATCAAAGATAAACAAAAGTTTTACAGATTTGGAAAGACATGACAGAATTGTCATTTTTGGGTGAACTATCCCTTTAAGTCGACTAAGATGCTTTTTTTCTCTTCAGCTGTTCATCTTCACTGATGGAGAGGTGGAAAACACTAAAGAGGTGCTGGACCTGGTGAAACATCATGTTCACTCTCACAGGTAAAGGTCTGCTGGGTTTGATGTTCCCATCATTCATCTCTTCATCACTTACGGTAACAGAGTTTATTGTGTGTTCAGGTGTTTCTCATTCGGGATTGGTGAGGGTGCAAGTAGCGCCCTCATCACAGGAATGGCCAGGGAAGGATCTGGTCACGCTCAGTTCATCACAGGCACCGACCGCATGCAGCCCAAAGTAAAGCTCTACACCGGATTTCACAGCCACAAATGTTTCCTAGTCAAATGTCTCAATGGTTTTTTCTTTCTCTTCAAACTATATCAGGTGATGCAGTCCCTCAGGTTTGCGCTGCAGCCCCCTGTGTTTAATATCTTTGTGGATTGGACCCTTCCAGATGGCATTACTGTTGACACACTGTCTCAACCCATCAAAGTGCTCTTCCAGGGTCAAAGGGCACTCATTTACGCCCAACTTAAAGGAGAGGTGAGATGATGTAGCATGTGTTTTTTTTTTTATATAAGAATAAGAGACCAGTGTCTCTCCTTTGTTTAGATGATAACAAAATCTGCATTTCCCCTCTCTTATAGAGTTCAGGAGGTTTTGAGGGAACAGTGACCGTCAAATACAGGCTTAAAGATCATCCAGTAAAAAACCAGCTCCACTTTTGCCTCAAACCAAATGAGGAAACTGGGTAACACACACAAACACACATAGAAACACATTGAACTGTATGACATCCATTCTTTGCTTTTGAAATCTAACAAATTTCCTCCGTGTTTTTGTAGGTTGTCCGTCCACCGGCTGGCGGCTCGCACCCGGATCCGTTCTCTGGAGCAGGAGGAGAGGTCATGTGATTCAGATGTTGAAAGCATCAGGAGAAAGATAGTGGAGCTCAGTGTTCAGGCAGGAGTGAGCAGTGTTCATACAGCCTTCATTGCCATTAATAAAGACAGCAGAGAGACTGTGAAAGGACCCCTGCTGCAGAGAAGAGTGCAGACATACGGTTAGTGCGACGATTGTGAACTTGTGAGGATGTTTGTGTCTTTTTTATTATTATTAAATAATAATTTATTTATATATGGGCTCTGCACACACACACACACACACACACACACACACACACACACAGACACATCTCAACATTAAGCCTTGTTATACTTATTTTATACTTACTTTTAACTTGTAGTGTATAAATATTTGGGCTATCAAATTAAACCTATTCATGCGTGTGATTTAACCCTTTAAGACCGACGGGAGCGCCGGCGCTCCCGTTTGCGTGTGTCTGTTTAAACGCCTATAGAAACTGAAACCAAATTGCTAGCTCAATCATTCTTTTTGCATACAAAACCAGAGATGTAACATGTTCAGATCAAGCCTCCAACATGCCCATGTTGCGTTGTTTTCACCCTCTAATCAGTCTGTACAAACTGCGTAATATGCGTTTACAAAAAAACAACACAAAAATGCATTGCACGTCTTTGCACACATGTTCTGTAGATCTGCGATTGATAGTTACGTCTTCCGATGGCTCATTGACGTATCACGTTCTGTGCACTATGACCCCCGGGTGTGTCGCATATTGTGACGTCACAAGCTGCGTCATTTGACCATGCGTTTGACTCGCGTGATTTTTTTTCCCCAAACCACTTCAGCGGAAATCCCGCCCTGCAGCCGATTCTAAAGTTTTCATTGCTCATGTCAATCACTGTACAGATTGCCTACACCAAACACTGATCCCTAAACCTACCCGTCACTGTAACCTAAACCAATGAAATCGGCTGCAGGGCGGGATTTCCGCTAAAGTGGTTTGGGGGAAAAAAAAATCACACGTTTGACTCCCGTTTGACTCCCATTTGCTATATGTTCCTTCTTATCGTTATTGTCTTTTTACCATTGCTTTATTTTATCATTTCTTTCTCCTTTAGACACTCACAAATACAAGCACATTCACACACACACACACACACACACACACACACACGCGTGCGCGCACGCACGCAACGTTATGTCTAAACGAAAGTACACGGACGCGGAGGTTTTGGAAATACATATTGCGTCCGATGACGATGAACTATACGTCTGCTCATCTATTTATTTTATATTTTAACCAATTCAATGTTCAATCAATATTCAAAAGCAAAATGTTATCTGTTTGACCACAAATGTAATTGAATATTTTACATGGCATTTCCCCTCCCTTTTTTTGAATGAGTGTAAAAATGAGTGTATCTTCAAAACTAATTTATGTAAACAGTTCAAATCAATTCTGTGTAGTTTTAAATTGTTTTATGCACGTTTTTCACATTGACAAGTTTGAGGTTGACATTTATCCATTTTTTGTATTGAATAAAATATGTAAAAAATAAATAATTAAAATTGTTTTTCTTTTTGTTTATTGCACTTTTGAGATATTTATCTAGTTACTATTGATTTTTTACAAACATAGCCTTCAAATTGGGAGAGTAAGGATTATTTTGATGTATGGCATATGAAAATGCTCAAAAGAATGACAGCACAGCATGTAAAAATACAAAGATATACTCTGGTGGAATTGTTCTATGGCAGGTCATAAAGGGTTAACTGTTTAACATTTGTTAATGGAAACACAGTTAGAGGCCTACGTGTTTGTACAGTACATAAGACTGCCTGTAAGGAAAGATTTTTTATTATTGCTGATGCAGTTAAAAAAAAAAGAGTTGTGTGTGTGTGTGTGTGTGTGTGTGTGTGTGTGTGTGTGTTAGACCAAGAAATTAGTGTTGCATTCATTCAAATATATAGCTTCACATATAGTGTTTGTGCACGTTGGTTTTTCTTTAGAGATGGCGAGATCCTAATGTGGTTCTGCAAGAAAAATAAATAATTATATATTATTCCTGTTTGTTCACTTTATTTCAGAGATGATGGAGGATTATTGTTCAACACTTTCTATGACGAGTAAGTGAACATACACAACGAAAGCCATTTCACAAACTTCTGTCAGGGCTCCGACATTGTGATGTACATCATCATTTATTCAGAGATTACTAAACAAATGTGTTTTATTTGTGCTGATCATAAATGTGTTTAACCCTCTGGGGTCGGCTATCGCGCCGGCGCAATTGTCTCGATTTTTGCTTCAGAGAAGAATACGCGGTTAGTGCGAGGATTGTAAACTTGTGAGGATATTTGTGTCTTTTTTATTATTATTAACATATTCTTGTTACATATTTTACATTTGGTGTGTTCAAGTAATCGAAATCAAATGCTATTTTAGGGTCATAGCAGTGTAATTTATGGCCAATACTGAATGTCAAGTCAAACTTGTGTTTGTAAACTAAGTTTTACGACAGATGATTATTGCTTTGATTGTATGTGTAAAAGTGACTTGACTATATACTATAGTATATTATATTTTTATGTGTTAATCTCATTAGGATGTGAAAACAAATGTTTTAGATATTTACTGGATACAGAAAGTCCCAGGATGCCAGTATGTGACAGTGGCTTTTGCATGGCAAGCACCAATCACATTTTCTTCAAATGATAAGATATAAAATGTTCAGGTTTAGGGAGGATGTGGTCAGTGTTTCTTTTCAGTCTGTGGGGGTTTCTTGTGCTTGCAAGAATGTGTTTGTGGTATTTGCAAAGGTAAGCTCCCAACATAACATCAATTCAGTAACGTTCACTGGAAATGACTGAGTGCTAAAAATAGCTCTTGTACCTGTTTTTATGGGTTCATTGACAAACAAAACAATACAAAGGGTAATTGCAAGATTGTTTTGGGCCAGAAATGTCCATATCAATCCATCCCTATTCCAAAGCTTTTGTTCTTTTGGATGTGTCTGTTCTTGGTTGTTTCTCCAGATCTGAATCTGTTCTGACCTTTGGTTTTTCTGCCTGTATAGCGATACAACCTGCTCCGTTCCTGGCCGGTAAATGTAGGGATGCTGAGTCTAAGTCACTGATGGGTAAGTGCACTTCAATGTAATATTATTTTTATGAAAGAAACTTTTACGAAAGAAATATTGACCTGTTAATCATTGGTTTATAAGCCTCACCAAACCACAGCACAAAAAGGAGAGCAATAAATGATTTCCTGTCACATAACAGTTACCAAGATGTAAAATTAATTTGTTTTCAGGGAGACTATCTCAAGCCCTGTTTAAAAATCAAGGTAAGATAAATCATATTGACTAATCTTCTGTTGTGGTTTTGTGTTGAGGTGTTTTTGTTATGCAGGTTTCATGTGAACATAAAAAAAAAAAAAATCATATGTATGTTTTATGGTCAGAATGGTGCTACACACAGACACACACACAGACACACACAGAGCCGATCAGCCCTATATGCACACTACGCAAGTTGCGTAGGGCCCCGCAAATTACTCAAGGCCTCGTTTCAAAGCACGTCAATCAAAGTTTACAACATTGATGAGAAGATTAAGCAGAACTATCCTTCTGGTCACGAAAAGAGAGAGAGAAAACACCATGAGACTTGTGAATTGCGGGAACAGCAATCAGGCAGACTTGTGTTCTCTCCTCTCCAAGTTTGAGGTCAGCAAAGAACAGTAAAGTTAAGTTGATGTGCATCTCTCTCTAGTCTGTCTGTCTGTCTAACCCAGCTGGGAAGTGCATCTTTTGGTCTTTTTGTGTCTTGCTTGCTAATGGCGGCGTCTTCCAGGGCTGTGTTTTGTGACTTTGTGCCTGACAAAAAAAAGTTTGCGTGAAATATAACTATTTATTACGTTTGATAAACGACAAAGGGCAACTGTGTTTGTTTATAAACTGCAGCTCGGAAAAGATAACGCGTCGCGCGTTAACATGCGTTTATATGCGTGTGCACGAAATGAAACTCGCAGTTTCCAGCAGAAACATCTGTGGGGACTAGTCCGATATGGGCGTGATTGCACTCCTCATTATAGGCGCACATAATTTTAAAACAAGACAATGATTATCTTGTCTCCAAGTCAGTTTAGTTACAACTATAAAGCAAGATGGAAAGCAATATTGACATTGACTTGATTTATAGGCTATATTTTTTAAATAATTTCAACATTATTTAAAATGTTGATTGGCTGGACATACTGGTCAATATGGATGCACATCCCTCAGTAAATAATAACCATCAAGTATTGCTTTTATCATTTAAAACACAGGACATGCTATGGCAAGCCATTTTGGCTTTTATTCATTCACAGGCTGCATTTTTGATATCAGTAATTAAATTTGTACTATTTAAAATGTGAATTGTTGATATTAAGAATGTACTTTTTCTAGTAACAATGTCTATTTCTGATATCAGGGATTATATTTTCTTTGGTACTAGTTAAAGGAGGGAGGATTGTAGTGCATGGGAGCACTGGGGTGTCAGACTCAGGTGTGACTGTGTGGCAATGGCAAATGGTTTACATGGCTCATCATGGGTCAGGTAGGAGGGCCCCTTCATTTTGCTTAGGGCCACAGGGAGGTCAGGATCGGCTCTGCACGCGTGCACACACACACACACACACACACTCTCTCGTCTTTCACTGTCGTCACTCCTCCTTTTATGCTTCTGAAGCTCCTCCGTGAGAGATACGAGACCGGTGCGTTGCGCAGGTGTCCCCAGTCAGTATCACGCCAGCTTCCTAATGACTTTACTATTAAAGGAGATGTTCAAACTTTTAACTAGTAGTGTATAAATATTTGGGCTATCAAATTAAACCTATTAATGCGTGTGATTTAACTGTTTAACATTTGTTAATGGAAACACAAAGTACATAAGACTGCATGTGAGGAAAGATTTTTTATTATTGCTGATGCAGTTTAAAAAAAAAAAGAGTTGTTGTGGTGGTGGTGTGTGTGTGTGTGTGTGTTAGACCAAGAAATTAGTGTTGCATTCATTCAAATATATAGCTTCACATATGGTGTTTGTGCACGTTGGTTTTTCTTTATAGATGGCGAGATCCTAATGTGGTTCTGCAAGAAAAATAAATGTTTATATATTATTCCTGTTTGTTCTGTTACGTTCCCCTAACTGTCTAGGGGTCGGGAGGGGAGTTAACAAAGGAAAAAAAGGAAAGAAAGGTGAGACGAGAACACACTTCAATCCTCTGTCCCAGTCCCAGAGTATATATATATCAAAGAAATGATTTTATTTATTATCTGACAGTTGTAGCAAATTCCCAGAATATCGAACGCATAGGGAATATCCAACGCATAGAGAAGACGGTCGATTGTTATTCAACACTTTCTATGGAGAGTAAGTGAACACACACAACAAAAGCCATTTCACAAACTTCTGTCAGGGCTCCGACATTGTGATTTACATCATCATTGATCATTTAGAGATTACTAAACAAATGTGTTTAATTTGAGCTGATCATAAATGTGTTCATGCCTCATTTTTTTAGTCTGTTACTTTGAGTTTTTCTACTGAAACGAGAAACATACAGTCATTTTAGAGAACTTGTTGATTGTTAGTGAAAATATATTTCTTCATATTGACTAAATACATGAATTTTCCACTTGAACAGGAACAGCTCTGCCTAACGAAAAGTAAGTCAATGAATCCACAGTGATTAACATGTTTTTGTGATATGAGTGTGTGTGAGTTTTATTTCAAACTCTGTGAAACTCTAATGAAAAGTCACCTTATGGTCAATGATTGTTGTTGTCAGTTGCAGAGATCCTATTCCACTGTCTCATGAAGCAAAATCTCTAGGCAAACAAAGGGGTATACTAACGCACACACACACACACACACACACACACACACACACACTGTACATTGAGTTTTGATGTTTTATGGGGACTTTCCATAGACATAATGACATTTATACTGTAAAAACTATATATTCTATCCCCTAAACGCAACCATCACAGAAAAATTATTACATTTCTAAAACTTCATTTACTATGATTTATAGGCTCTTTTCTTCATGGGGACCTAAAAATGTCCCCACAAGGTAAAAAATGACTATTTAAAAAAAAAAAATATATATATATATATTACTTGGACATTTGGTCCCATTTACGGGTTTACCACACACTAACTCCTAAACAAGAGATGAGTCTTTTTATCATCTTATCATCTTGGAAATAAATGTTATTTTCCCTTTTTTGCCTCTTCAAATTGATCTATAATTGCCTCAACTTTTGGTAGGACGATTAAATGAGTCAAAGAACCGATCTAGAATGTTATGCTATTATGTAATTCCTAACATAGTCCAAAATGGAGGTCAAACAACCAACAAGGACAAAGAGGCAATAAATTTCCAGATTTTTGTTGAACAGATTTTCCATGATTGCACCTGGATCTTATTTTCTCTCTCTTTCTCTATATGTGTTCAACTGCAGACCCGTTACTCCAGCTGGTTTCTCTCCAAAAGGCGTCAGGCTGCTGGGATCTGGACGTCACACTGGCTGATGCGTTTGGGAAGACGGAGGAGGAGCTGACCAATCAGAAACCAGCTCAGGTGAGAGATGTGATGAATAATCAGACAGTGATGATTGTGTCCAGTAACTAATGCAGTGTATGATGGTTTGTACACAGGTGGAGGGGTCAGTATGGGCCACTCTCCTGGCTCTGATCTGGTTATACGGCTGTAAAATAGACCAGCGGGTCGAGTGGCAGTTTGTGGCCATGAAGGCGGCGTCGTGGATCGGCTCTCAGAAAGGTGAGATCTCCGTTCCAGACCACATTCACTCAGCCAGCGTTCATCAAGAGACGCTTGAGCAAATATCTGCAGTTCTTTGACACACACTGATGATATGTGTGTGTGTGTGTGTTTCAGTGGGCGATCTGTCCGAGTGTGTGTGTGTGGGTAATGTCCTGCTCGGATGTCAGGTGACCAAAGAGACTCTGGGAATCTAAAGAAGTCAGTGTTTCTACTTCCTGTGCCGTCAGAAGACGAAAGAACTGTCACACAGTTTCATTTACTGTTTTTCCTTTACTTGTTTTCTTAAAGGTGCATTGCGCAACATTTCATGTTAAAAATACCCGTTTTTCTAATACATACATGCTTAACCCTCAGACGGTCCTCGGTCATTTCTAACCGAAACATCTTCTGTTTTGAATTTCTAAAAATCACAGCTTCATCGGAATGTTATGAAACCTGGTGACTTTTATGGCATTATGTATGTGAATACAAAAAAAATTGAGGTCATGATCCGAGCATGCTAAGTGGTCGTAAAAAAATTGTCACACTTCGGCTTCGGTCAAAAATGACCCCCATTTTTTTTTTAATATAGTAGTTTATATTTTTTTCATCTTTCTTTAGCTTATTCATTATTGCTGTTTTCTTTTTTACTGTTCATTCAGGGTTCGTACGTTTTGAAAAAAAACCTGGAAAAGTTATGGAATTTGAAAAATGCAAATCCCAGGCCTGAAAAGGTTTTGAAAAAATAAAAAGACCTAGAAAGTTTTGGAAAAGTCATTGAATTTTTTTTTTTTTTAATTCATTTTTAACACAGCATAATATGTGATTAATACAAAAACTGTTTAATAAAAAAAAAATATTTCGCCTTGTCTTAACTTCCTTATATTCGGCCGGCATAACGTTCAGTTCACTTTCCGATTCACTCACTTGTTGCGATGTTGCCTGAGGCGAAGTCTAGACGGCTGAGGACATGACTATGTATTGGTTAAAATGTGTATGAACCTTGTTCACTGTTTTGTTACTTTCAGTGACTTACACAAATGTTCATTATATAGACTTGTTCATTAAATGTTATTTTACATAGTGTTATAATTGAATGAATTGCTTGAATAATTTATAATAATGAATAATTTTTTGTTACAAATTCTGAATAAAAAAAAATGGGTATAAAATGTGCTTCTTGTCAACACAAGCTTCTCTTTCTAACACAATGTTTAGGTTTGACTGTAATCATAATGCAAAAACTAACCTAAAAAAGAATAAATATTATAGAACAAAAATAAATTGCATTGGTTTTACTGGGATGGAGGAAGTTTCATTTTTAGGTCTCCGGTCACTTCTGACCGGGTAGGCCCAGGATGTGACTCCGAAAGGAAGACCGTCTGAGGGTTAAACAATTGCCTGATGGGCTGAATGAGCCCTTCTCTGATCACTGCGACTGCCTCTATAATCCTGTACAGTAAATAAAATAAATAAGAGGGATTTGGGATGGAATTTGAGACTGGGCGTGACGTCATGTGCGTTCACGCTCACCTGGCTATGTCTGGCAGGTTTGTGTATTCGCCGCCATTCTCCGTATCAGCGAAGACAACTCGAGCGACAAAACTTTAGTCAACTTTCGACAAAAATAGAAGATGGATTCAAAGAGACCGGCTTGTAGTTCATTCCAAACCCCAACGCAAACTCCACGTAAGACAAAGAAAAGAAAACTTTTGTCTAGTCTTACCTCCATAACTTCCGGCTCATGCATTATTTTGCATGGGCCATTGAGCTATTTCCCTGTGTGACTCAGTGCCTCTGAAGAGCATCTCAGTGGAGGTCCGTGTTCAGGATCATGTCTCCACAGTCTCCTCCACTCTGCTGTATGTGAATGAGGAAGAGCGCCCCCTGGAGGCCTTGTTCGTGTTCCCTCTGCCCGCTGATGCTGCTGTCTGCCACTTCAGTGCCAAGATCGGAGAGCAGGAGATTGTGGCAGAGGTGCAAGAAAGAGAAACCGTGAGTCCAAATATAAGTCTGTAGGAAGCGTATTTGCATATAATGTTTACTGTGCATCATGTAATATAATTGTGTTTTGCAGGCGAGGGATCGGTATGATGACGCTTTGAGTTCGGGTCAGCAGGCGTTTCTGCTGGAAGAGAGCGCAGAGAGTCCTGATGTGTTCGGACTGAGTGTCGGGTGTCTGTCGCCGGGTCAGAACGCTGCCGTCACCATCATCTACGTCACCGAGCTCGATGTGCAGGCCGACCACTCGCTGCGCTTCTGTCTGCCGGCTGTACTCAACCCCCGATACACACCAGCAGGTGCAGCAGCTGCTGACACACACTTTATTAGCGGAGACAAGCTGATTCTAACACTGAGGATTTTGGAAACTGTCATACATTCATATAGAGGATCAATCTATCCACGTCTTTAGAAATGAGGCCCCAGGAATGAGCATTAAGTCCATAGAATCATGTTGAGTTTAAGTAGTATTTGTCCATGTCTGTCTATAGGACACTCTGATGTTACTGTTGAAGAGTCTGCCCATGGGATGCTACTTCAATATCTATGGTTTCTCCATAGATGAAGAGAATGCAAGCAGACCTGGGCGGCACAGAGATTTTACTGCCTCTAAAATACATCTACAGTCAGCCCTGTAACCCTGACCATCCCAGACAGGTACAACAACACCTCAACATGCATCTGAACTACTGGTTAGATGTCTTCAGTGCCTGGGATGTACAGAATTACAGTGGGTTTCCTGAATCATTTTTAATGAAGAATTTGTATTTATGTTTTGGTTTAGAAGCAGGGGCCTCAAGATAGGTGGTGTATTTTTAACTTGATCAAATGCAACCATCTTGACTAGAGATGCCCCAAAACAGTGATATGCCACATAATGGCCAAAGAAATCTTTCTAAAAGTGTGTGTTTGTTTTTAAAGGTAATTAATTAAAAACTTACATTATATGAAAGTGTTTTACCACTTTCTCACAACTTAATTTGAAGCACAATTATCAGAATCAGAAGTGTCAATCTTACATTTAAATGTCAAACAGGCTAGTCGACCTGTTGAACCATTGTGACCCATCCATAATGAGTATCTCTATTGTTTTCTCTTCAGCTGTTCATCTTCACTGATGGAGAGGTGGGAAACACTAAAGAGGTGCTGGACCTGGTGAAACATCATGTTCACTCTCACAGGTAAAGGTCTGCTGGGTTTGATGTTCCCATCATTCATCTCTTCATCATTTACAGTAACAGAGTTTATTGTGTGTTCAGGTGTTTCTCATTCGGGATTGGTGAGGGTGCAAGTAGCGCCCTCATCACAGGAATGGCCAGGGAAGGATCTGGTCACGCTCAGTTCATCACAGGCACCGACCGCATGCAGCCCAAAGTAAAGCTCTCCACTGGATTTCACAGGCACAAATGTTTCCTAGTCAAATGTCTCAATGGTTTTTTCTTTCTCTTCAAACTATATCAGGTGATGCAGTCCCTCAGGTTTGCGCTGCAGCCGCCTGTGTTTAATATCTCTGTGGATTGGACCCTTCCAGATGGCATTACTGTTGACACACTGTCTCAACCCATCAAAGTGCTCTTCCAGGGTCAAAGGGCACTCATTTACGCCCAACTTAAAGGAGAGGTGAGATGATTTAATGTGTTTCTTTAATAAGAATCAGACACCAGTGATGTAACCTGGAGAAATATTCACAGAAATGTTAATACAAGCACAAGTGGAAGACTACATCTTTACATTATGTTAGATTGTGTCCAAATGTGTAAGGAAAGTTGTTTTATTTACATTTTCTGTGCAGTTTTAAAAATATAGTGTCTGTTGTTTTTTGTGTGAAACCGAGCAATTAGCATTACAGTCAATTACATTTTTTATGAGTCAGATCCACCAAAAAACTGCAGATCATAAATATATGCCAATAACTTTAGTTTTCTTTCCTTGAAAGGAATTGTATTGCTGTTTGATGGATGATGATGACGTTGATTACGCACCACCAGGTGAGGAGGGTATTTGAAAATTTAAACTAATTAAAAACACTAAATACTAGGGGTGTAACGGTACATGTATTCGTATTGAACCGTTTCGGTTCGAGGCTTCCGGTTCGGTACGCATACAAACCGAACGATTCCTTGGACCATTTTTCCTACCGACAAAATTCGCGCTGGCGCGACCACCACAACGTTGCGCAACATCAAATGGCAAGCGTAAAGAAAGCGGAACGAAACTGCGCTACTCATTATGTGCTTCACGGATCGTTTATCAGTTCGGAGTTCGGACCAGCAACATCTGTGCAGCGCGAGCCGATCTCGATCAAGCGACACTGTCACTACACAGCGCTAAGATCAAGTGAAGAAAACATTTGAATTCGCCACTGAAGTAATAACATCGCTGCGAGATCTAGTGAGAAGCATTCACATTTCTCCGTTATTAACCGTAGATCTCTATTAGATCAAACAGCGCTGACGTGGACACCAGGAGAAATATTGTGCCGTGAATGAACTAAGTTAGTAATACTTTACGTCCACAGACCAGCAACATTCACCATAACTGTAATCAGTTTGGCTGGAATAGTGAAATGCTTTCAAGTACTTCACACATCTTTTTCCAGCACTTCAAAACTCAAATATTATATAAATAAATATTTGAAGAGTTCAGATGCAAAAGCCTTTGAAATTTTCTTCTAGAATGATCATTTTTATGAAGCTTGTATATTTAAGTTCAGTAATTTCACTCAAATGACAATTAATAGGTAATCTTCATCGCCATTTAAGTGAAATTACTGAACTTAAATATACAAGCTTGATAAAAATAAAGAAAATGAACTCTTCATATATTTAAATGTTATTTTTAATGTGATGACCAAAACATTATTTGTTCATCCTTCAAAGATGACACCCATTTATAAACCTGAAAGTTTCAAGATGTAGGAAAACTCACAATTATTTAAAAAATATTTTTTCTTTTAACAAATAGGAAATTTCTCTGGCATTTCTTACTTTTTGCTGTATCGAAAACGTACCGAACCGTGACTTTAAAACCGAGGTACGTACCGAACCGTGATTTTTGTGTACCGTTACACCCCTACTAAATACTAAAAACAAAAATGTAAATACTAACTTAAAAAACAAGCAAATATTACAAATTGTAAATAAAAAAAATAAACGAGATGACACAAATCAGTCAATTTCATGCAGTGAATTTTCACATATGCTGATCCTTATAAAAATTGTACATTGACTTGCACATTGTAGTTTTCTTTCCTTAAAAAGATTCTGATTTCAAGGCGATGAATGATGATGATTATGTTGATGATGATGATCTACTCTAACTATCGAAAGTTTGAAATTGTGTGATACTTTTTGAGAGTATTGTTGAGAGTCGTATGATAAATTGCTTGTGATGTTCCCCATTTGTACAGTGAGTTGCTTTGGGTTAAAGAATCTGATAAATGACTAAATGTAAATATTAATTTCAGACTTTTTTATTTTATTTCAGATTTGCTTTTAAAAAGTAACTCAACCCCTGGTCAGAGCCTGACTCCACCCACTGGCAATGTTTGAAAAATGCTGGAAAAGTGGGCAAAGCCCAGCGGAGGGGGGGCGTCTCTCTCTCTCTGTCAAGGACTTCAACGACTCTTCAACGACTCTCTCAAGGCCGTGGTGAGCTGGTGCCTGCTTACGTCACGCAGTACCACAACATCCAATAGGAAAATTCAACTGCAGTATCCACCGTTCAACCTGAAGAGGGCAGCACTCAGACGTTTATACACCATATATTGTAGAATTAAAACACTTTATACCCAAATGTCAAAAAACTTACTCGAATCACTGAAACGGCATTAATAAAGCCCCAGTCTTACAGATCATTAACTAAAAAAAGTTGTTTTAGGGTTTAGTTACCCTTTAATGGCTGGATGGACACCCAGAATGAAACAAATGGAGCTCTGACATCAGGACGGTCGAGACAAGGAGCTCAGATCCCCGGACAGCTGTGGCAGGAACCTCTGAGACGTGACGGGAAGCCTGAAGACCAGAACATCATTCTCTGGTGGATGAGTTCTGGCATTTGAACCTCTGAGGCGTCCATGGCAAGAACTTCTAGGACCATACAGCCATGACGGGAACCCCTGGTCCTGGACAGACAGGGTAGGGAGCTTTAAACAGAAACAGAGAGACATAAACCTCTGGGCCGGCAGTGGCAAGAATTATTTACTGCCTGTGAGGCGGTAATGATGGGAACTTCTGGGACGGAAATAACTAGGAGCTTGGATACCGTTGTGGCTGAAATGGTCGTGAGTGCTGACCTTGTGGCAAGAACAGGAATCACTGGGGCAGCCATGACTGGGAGCACTGGTATTGAGGAGGCAGTCATATATAATCATATATCAGTCATATCAGGACCCTTGTTACCGGGTGTGACCAGGAAAGGGAGCTCTGTCATCGGAGAGGCACAGGTGGAGGCAGAAAGCTCTGGCATTCAGAGGCCATGATGGAAACCTCTTGGACTCAGGATGGTGCAAACCAAAACAAAAAAGGGGCTTATGTGACGACCTGAAACAAAACAGAGAAAAAATAACAGATTTGACTTAGCAAATTCTTCCTATGAGAAAATAAAATGATTTTTAGCCGATCTTAGGTTCACTACCTTAAACCAGTTGTGGGACAGGATTCTCCCCAGACTAAGTCTCCGGCTTGGCTGCTCCTTTAGCAGAGACCTGAGGAGGCGACAGCATTCTGTGCAAGAAGACGTCTGATTATTACCTTAAACTTTACATCATGTTTTGTATGATAGTGAATTATTAATTCTAGATCTCACCTGTTGACAGGTTGGGTTTGGACCAGAGCTTCTGTTTCAGCAGCATCAGGTCATAGTCACTAGGGAAATGTCCACACAACATCACGAACATCAGAATCCCTAGTGACCATGCCGTCGCCTGCCTGCCGTAGTACTTCCCCTTGGCATGGTACTCGGGAGGACAGTACGCTGATGTGCCTGAGGAAAGAGGTTTTGTCTGATGTGTACATTTGCAATGCATTACAGCATAACTGGAGTTTTGAGTTACAATACATACCGGAGTATGACCTGTACGCCGAACTCCTCAGAATGTCCCCACACCCGAAGTCAATCAGCTTGACTTCAGACGTCTCACTGTTAATCAGGAGATTTTCCAGTTTGATGTCACGGTGGAGGACTCTGCGATCGCAGCACATGTTGGCAGCGTGAGCCGCCTGCCTCATGATGTGCCGGACCTTCTCCTCATCCAGTCTTCCACCGTGACGCCTCATGAACCGGGCCAGATCCTCACAGGGAGAGGGACATTCGAGGACCATAACGAAGTGGTCAGGGTGGTCCTGCCAGTCCAGCAGCCGGATGATCCCCGGCACGCTGGGACCTTTACTCGCCAGGATGGTGAGGGCGATCTCTTTAGGAAGGGGCTTTGGATGATCAGGCTAGAAGAATTTGGTTTGCAAATAAAGATTTAGCTCAGTCTTGGACCAGTTTGTTAGTTGAATAAACAATCAAATATCTGTCTGTGATAAATGTTAATATGAGATGTTTTATATTGTGCAGCCTACTTACAATGAATATACATTTAGCGTCTTTCGTCTTTGTGACGTATTTCACGGCCACCTGATGAACAAAACAAACAATTCATTTGTGTGTAGAAGCCATAAAATACACTTTCAAAGGATGAGATTGAGTCACAATCTAGATCATGTTTGATTTATTTTGACTTACTTTAAGATCATCCTCCAGACGTCTCCCTTCGTACACCACACCAAAACCACCTTTCCCCAGCTGATCACCAATAGTATAGTGACTGAAGATGTAGTCTATTAAAAGACAAAATAACATGATGTATATAGTTTTTTCATTTGACTGTATTTTAAATAATTAAAGCTCCAGTCCGTAACTTTTTTAAGTTAAAAATAATCCAAAATAATTATATTAAAAAAAAACTTATTCTGCCAGTGGTCAAAACTATCTGCTTGCCATAGCTAGATTCAAAACGGTTAGCTTGTAATAATGATTTTAATTCCAGTGGTACTGGTGGGTTTCCGCGGGAAATTCGAGCATGTCTTTGCGTAATGACGTCACACCCGTACACATAAAGAAGAGTTTCGGCTAGCCGGCTATACTGCGCATGACGAGATGTTTAGATGTATAGGCTTTTCTCGCAGCACTTTACATAATTAAACTTATGGCATCCAGAAAGATCCAAACAACAATCATCAGTGTCAACTGGAGATTCAGCAGTTATAAAACCCAAAAGACTTCGTACTTCGGATTTAAGGTGGCTAGAGAAAGAGAAAGAAACCGTCTCATGCGAACACAAGGATTTAAACATCGGCGGGGCTTTTGAAAAGTGCGTGAACTCCGTGTTTTGAAGGGGTTCGAAACGGAAGAAGAGATGGCTTTTTTCTGCTGAACAAGTAAGACATTTCAATAGTTCAATCGTGTAACAGTACGTTTTCTTAATTCACACAGTTATGGAGTTTCCTTGTGCCTTTCTCGTTTTGCTTTATGGAGAATATGAATTCTGAACTACACAGGTAGCTGCTAACCATAAAACACATTAAATTTAACATTAGTCACGCAATGCTGATGTTGTTAACATGAACAATTTGAGAACAAAGTAGGCTATAATTTGCACGGTTGCTGTAAATCACGTTGATTAAATCTAACGAAGCTTATCATGTCGAATGCTTTTTCCCCCTTAGTTGGTCAGAACAAAAATGGATTTTACTTACTTGTTCAGAAGACATTTTCTTATGAAAATTATTATGTTGGTCAAACTTTCAAAAAGTGAATCTGTGATTCTGTATGACAGTATCCACACAGCGCGGTGACTGACAGCAGCACTCGCCTCAAAGCACTGTGTTCATCCGCGCTGTTTCATGCCGATTTACAACCCACGTAAAGATGATAATTCCGCGAATCACTGCAGTTACAGATTTCGAACAGAGAGATGGCGACAAAGAGGAAAAGTTCCGGACTGCAGCTTTAACAGACTATATTGAATATTTACAGTTTTAACATCAGTATATATAGTGTAATGTTGTATCATATAATAAAGATCTCATGGCATTGATGTGGATTTTGGTATGATTTGTACTGACGTGTATTTGATATTGTGTGTGATACAGTATAAGTTTTTACGAGGTCAAAACAGAGATCTAGTCATTTATATTCTCATAAGATGGTCTGGTGTAATTTACCATCACTACTTCTTCCTGGCCATGCTACCTTCCTCTTCTCTCCCTCATCCCTCTGCTCCTCCTCTCCCTGACCTGAGCTGATCTCTGGAGCCTGTTTTCTGTCAGCTCTGAGGAAAGAGACCAGCCTCCTCCACCACTTCCTCTTTCTCTTCAGCACTCTCCCTGACTCCTTCCTCTCCTCCTCATCGCCTCCTCCTTCTCCTACTCTGTCCATCAACCTCCTCAACTCCTCATCAATTTCTTCCTCTCCTCCTCTCTCCATCACACTCCTCTCCTCCTCATCATCTCCTCTCTCCATCAACCTCCTCAACTCCTCCTCACTTTCTTCCTCTCCTCCTCCTCTCACTAATATCACCCTCCTCTCTTGGCTCTTTCCCACACCAGCATCATCAACAGGGGTCTCAGTCTCATCGCGAGGATGAGGATGCTGAACCGCCGTGTTGGTGCTGGGTTTTAGGGGTGTGCTTTGATGTTGATCGCACACCTCGCCAATAATTGGACTCACTTTACAACCTCGCTGTCCCATCGCTGTGAAAAAAACACTCACTCTCTGTCGACCACTACAACAAACCCACAAAGTGTGTAAGTCTGTGACGCGCTTATACAGTAAAACCCGCGCGTTCGATTCCACTTTGTTTATGACATCATTAGAGTCACCAACACATATAATCTGCTTTATCTCAATGTTTTCTCTTATAATTTTAAAATATAAGCAAATTGTATTTTTTCTAAACATCTCCCGTTTTACATGAATTGTTGTATATGACATTTTTATTATTGATAGCTGTTGTTTTTGTCTGTTGAAACGGTAGGCTAATTCAATAAATATGTTTGCAGTGATATTCCTACATGGGGTTGTTACAAAATCTTGTCAACAAGAAGTAGATGACATCTAACTAACGAGTAATATGTTCAGATTTGATAGCAGTTTCTTGGAAGTTGAAGAAACTTCCAACTTGGAATCCGTAAACCTCCACTTCGGGTGCGGAAGACACTCTTAAATTAGGAAAAAGTTATTAAAGTATCTGGAATTATCACCCCTGATGTAAGAATCAGCCATATGTTTATAAACTCCTGTATAGAAAATTTGTTTGGAATAAAAATCTCAGCTTTACGTCTCTTCTGCAGATAATTAATATTCATGAGCCAAACCTGTTTAAATAGCAGGATCACTGATCTCGCGCAGAGTTTAACGGTCTTCTGACTCTGACTGAAACTGCGGAGCGTTTCAACGACTTCCAGAAATCATCTTTTCTCTTCCCCAAACGGTCGCGCTAGAAACTCTCAGAAACACTTGTTTACTCATTAATTGAGTATTCTGTGAAGATTTATTTTTGTATTTGTATTTTCGGTTTTTTTTTTTCGGTTTCACACTTTCGCTCACTTTTAAAGTAGGTCGGTCATCTAGTCAGTTCATCATGAGCGTGAGAAGAATGATGAACTGCGGTCTTGTGACTGAGAAAAATGATCTGGGTATGAATTCACCTGTTTACTTTTATTGTTTCTAAATTTATTTATTTATTAATATGTTGGAGAGCTTATGTGTTTTTCAAACAGTGAAGTTTGTCGGCTTTATCTCAGTATTATTTTAGTGAAGATAGATTTTAACCGAAATATTTTTCACAAATGCCACATGCTCTTCTTAAATTCATATTTTTTTATTATATATCAAAAAGCTCTTGTTCGCTCTTGTTTTTATGCTAATGTATAGACGTTTTGTGATGTGTGGTTGTTCTGTTGGTTTGTGTGACTCTAGAAACTCTCAGAAACACGTATTTACTTGTTAATTGAGTCTTATGTGGGGATTTAAGGCACATTTAAAATGTGTATTTTCGGTTTTTGATTGTCACTTTCGCTTACTTTAAAGTAGGTCATCTTACTAGTAATTTCCTCTAACGCAGCTTGAGAATGATGAACTGCGGTCTTGTGACTGAGAAAAATGATCTGGGTTACCGGGTATGAATTCACCTGTTTACATTTATTGTTTCTAAATTTATTTAGCCTATCATTTATTAATATGTGGTAGAGCTTGTGTTTTTTAAACAATGAAGTTTGTCGCGAGGGGGGCTTTATATGGATTTTGGGACCATTGCTGTTCTCTCTGTATATGCTTCCTCTTAGCACTATTTTTCAGAAGTAAAGTATTTCATACCACTGTTATGCCGACGATCTCCAGTTTTACTTTCCTGTAAGCTTAGATCATCAAACATGTTCACTGGACAAAGCACAGGAATGTTACAGCGACATAAAACTTTGGCTTTCTAGCAACTTTCACCAATTAAATGAGAGTAAAACTGTGTAGGCTCTCCCATCTCACCTACCTTTCCTGATCATTTAGGTTCCTTGTCCCTAAAGATTGAAGATCATGTTAAGTGTTTAGGGCTGATCATGGACTCATCACTAAATTTTAATAGACAAATTGGTGCTGTTGTGAAAGGTAGCTTTTTTAACCTGAGATCAATTGCTAAAGTAAAGCATTTTCTATCTATTAAGGATTTGGAAATTGTGGTTCACTCTTTTATTTCATCAAAGATTGACTACTGCAATTCTTTATATATTGGTCTCCCCCAGACTATGCTAGTCCGCCTACAGTTAGTGCAAAATGCAGCGGCAAGGCTTTTAACGGGTGTGAGAAAGAGAGACCATATCACTCCTGTACTGCAATCCTTACATTGGCTTCCGGTTAAATTCAGGATTTATTTTAAAGTCCTCTTGTTTGTCTACAAAGCCCTATCAGGCCTTGCCCCCCAGTACAGTGATCTTATTATTCCCTACTCTCCTTCTAGAGTTCTTCGGTCCTCCAATCAAAGGCTTTTAAAGGTCCCTCGTTGTCATTTAAAATCAAAAGGAGATCGTGCTTTTTCTGTGGTATGTCCCAAACTTTGGAATAGTTTACCATTCCACGTGAGGTCAGCTCCATTAATTACCACTTTTAAGTCTTATTTAAAAAACGCATTTATTTTCTTTAGCTTTTGAATAAATTATGTTTTGTTTTGTTGCACGATTTTAATGTTGGGGCAACGTCTGTTGTTTGAAAATGTGCTATATAAATAAAGTTGCTTGCTAGTATTATTTTATAGTGAAGGTAGATTTTAACCGAAATATTTTTCACAAATGCCATATGTTCGGAATTTTTTTATCAAAACGTTATTGTTTTTATGCTAATTTAGAGAGTCTAATAGTCACGTTTTGTGATGTTGTTCTTGTTCTGTTGCTTTGTGTGACTCAGTGCCTCTGAAGAGCATCTCAGTGGAGGTCCGTGTTCAGGATCATGTCTCCACAGTCTCCTCCACTCTGCTGTATGTGAATGAGGAAGAGCGCCCCCTGGAGGCCTTGTTCGTGTTCCCTCTGCCCGCTGATGCTGCTGTCTGCCACTTCAGTGCCAAGATCGGAGAGCAGGAGATTGTGGCAGAGGTGCAAGAAAGAGAAACCGTGAGTCCAAATATAAGTCTGTAGGAAGCGTATTTGCATATAATGTTTACTGTGCATCATGTAATATAATTGTGTCTTGCAGGCGAGGGATCGGTATGATGACGCTTTGAGTTCGGGTCAGCAGGCGTTTCTGCTGGAAGAGAGCGCAGAGAGTCCTGATGTGTTCAGACTGAGTGTCGGGTGTCTGTCGCCGGGTCAGAACGCTGCCGTCACCATCATCTACGTCACCGAGCTCGATGTGCAGGCCGACCACTCGCTGCGCTTCTGTCTGCCGGCTGTACTCAACCCCCGATACACACCAGCAGGTGCAGCAGCTGCTGACACACACTTTATTAGCGGAGACAAGCTGATTCTAACACACTCTCTCTCTCTCTCTGTGTGTGTCAGGTTCAGGAGCTTGTATGGTCTCAGAGATTTCATCAGTATGTGGAGCTGTTCCCTACACGCTGACACTCAGTGTCCATGTGAGCTCTCCAAAGCCCATCTCCAAACTAGAGTCCAACTGCACTCTGGATCCTCTAGTGTTCCTCCACTCCGATCACACTCAGGCTACGGTACTGTGTGTGTCTTCATGTGTTTATCTGGATGTGTGAGCACAGTAGTGTTATGCATGTGTTTTTATGTGTGTAGGTGAATCTGAGTCCTGGTCACATGTTTGATAAGGACGTTGAGCTGTTTCTGTACTATCAGGAGACCCATCAGCCCTCTGCTATAGTGGAGGCAGGAGTGGCCACTGCCCCATCAGGTCGGACCTGCAGCTGAGCTCACTGGCATTATGGGATTGAGTGATCAAGGTTTCACTGACTCTCTCTCTCTCTCTCTCTCTCTCTCTCTCTCTCTCTCTCTCTCTCTCTCTCTCTCTCTCTATTTCAGGCTCTCTGATGAGGGACCCAGTGATCATGATAAGTTTGTACCCAGAATTCCCAGAGGAAGTGATGTCATCACTGGCAACACAAGGAGAGTTTGTTTTCGTGATGGACAGATCAGGCAGTATGTGTGATGTGATGCATCATGGGACAGGAGCACAGAGGCGCATAGAAAGCGCAAAGGCAAGATTTAAGATTCTGCTTTTTAAGTGGAGGTCAAATTTAATTTGTACATTTTGTGCATATTTATAATATTGCTACACTTTTTTTTTGCATTGTAGTCGCTTTGATGAAAAATCCCTCATTTTGTTCAAGAATTAGATTCATGAACAGATTGTCTCTCGTTCAGTAAAGGGGTTTATTCGTTCAGTAGGTCAAATGCTCCTTCACAACCCACTCAAATGCAAGTGGCTATAGTCACACCGCACAGTTCAAAATGTAGTTTCAAAACAGATTTTTTTCTCTCTTGATTTCAAAACGGAGGTACTTCAGTGTACAATAAAAAACAGTCAGTGTATGAAAGTGAACAAGAACGCTGTTCAAAATACACTGATTTGTTAAATTTTCAGACTTTTTTGGGGCAGAATTTTTAGTTGGAATTTTACAACATTTGAAAACATTTCAGTGTTTGACCAAAATTCATGTTTTTCTAAAAACTGCTCATTTTGATTTCTGCTCATTCTGATGGTGTGCATCACAAATAGAATCAGTTATGATGTCATGTTGAGTTTAAATATCTGTCCATGTCTCTCTATAGGACACTCTGCTGTTACTGTTGAAGAGTCTGCCCATGGGATGCTACTTCAATATCTATGGATTTGGCTCTCGTTTTGAGTCTTTCTTCCCGTTAGTAACTAGATCTTCATTCATTGATATTCAGTTTTGAAATCTGTCAGAGAGGAGATGAGGAGATGTTTTTGTGTGCCTTTGCAGTCAGAGTGTCGTGTACAATCAGGACACAATGGATCAGGCTATGAAGAGTGTGAAGAGAATTAAAACAGACCTGGGCGGCACAGAGATTTTACAGCCTCTAAAACACATCTACAGTCAGCCCTGTAACCCTGACCATCCCAGACAGGTACAACAACACCTCAACATGCATCTGAATGACTATAAACTAAAAAGTTAGTTCACCAAAAAATTAAATTTCTGCCACTTTTTTCTCACCCTCATGTCGTTCCAAACCCTTAAGACTTCATCTTTAAACTGAAGATATTTTTTAATGAAATCTGAGAGGTTTCTGTTCCTCCATTTGAAGTCCATTCACCTAATACTTTGATGCTTCAGGACATGTTCACACTAATACGTTTTCATTTGAAAACATATTTTTCTCTCCGTTTTGGCCATCCGTCCACACTGAGACGGCGTTTTAAGTCAACGAAAACGTATCTTTTGGAAAACGCTCTCCAAAGCGGATAAATTTGAAAACGCCGTTTTCGCGTTGTAGTGTGGACTGTGAATGTCACGGAACACACACAGGAGGCTGAAAATCCAAGTGCAGTAATTTTAATTTAAAGGGCAATCCAAACTCATAGTCATCCAGGCAGGGGTCAGTAATCCAAACAATCCAAACACAAGCACAAGCACTAAACCAGCAACACGAAAGCAGACCAGGAAGTGGTGTGACATTATACAACGAATCCGTACACATACAAACACAGACAGGGCATATATACACAGATCTAACAAGACTAACAATGAACAGCTGGGAACAATGATGACGGGGAACAGCTGAGTGCAATGAACTGATGAGTGACAGTGACAGACAGAATGCTGGGAAATGAAGTCAATAGTGAAGGACACCGTGATAACGAGGACCTCTAGTGACAAACAAGGGAACACAACCAGACACTGTGACATAACCCCCCCTCTACGGAGCGGCTACCAGACGCTCCAAGACATAGTACAAGATAACACAAAACTTCAGGAGGGAGGTGGAACGGTGGAGGATCAGGGGGAGGGATGGTGGGCCAGGTCCATGAAGGGAAACAGGAACAGGGGGTGAGGGTTTAACCGGGGACCAGGGTAAAACAGAGAGTCCATCGGGCGACCAGGGCGAAACAGAGAGTCCATCGGGCGACCAGGGCGAAGCAAACAGTCCACCAGATGGCCAGGGCGGTGAAGACCCTTCGGGCGGCCAGGGCGGTGAAGACCCTTCGGGCGGCCAGGGCGGTGAAGACCCTTCGGGCGGCCAGGGCGGTGAAGACCCTTCGGGCGGCCAGGGCGGTGAAGACCCCTCGGGCGGCCAGGGCGGTGAAGACCCCTCGGGCGGCCAGGGCGGTGAAGACCCCTCGGGCGGCCAGGGCGGTGAAGACCCCTCGGGCGGCCAGGGCGGTGAAGACCCTTCGGGCGGCCAGGGCGGTGAAGACCCTTCGGGCGGCCAGGGCGGTGAAGACCCTTCGGGCGGCCAGGGCGGTGAAGACCCTTCGGGCGGCCAGGGCGGTGAAGACCCCTCGGGCGGCCAGGGCGGTGAAGACCCTTCGGGCGGCCAGGGCGGTGAAGACCCTTCGGGCGGCCAGGGCGGTGAAGACCCTTCGGGCGGCCAGGGCGGTGAGGACCCCTCGGGTGGCCAGGGCGGAGACGGCCCATCGGGCGGCCAGGGCGGTGAAGACCCCTCGAGCGGCCAGGGCGGTGGAACAGGAGCAACCACCGGCTCAGGAACTGCAGCAGGCACCGGCTCGGGAACTGCAGCAGGCACCGGCTCGGGAACTGCAGCAGGCACCGGCTCGGGAACTGCAGCAGGCACCGGCTCGGGAACTGCAGCAGGCACCGGCTCGGGAACTGCAGCAGGCACCGGCTCGGGAGCAGCAGCAGGCACCGGCTCGGGAGCAGCAGCAGGCACCGGCTCGGGAGCAGCAGCAGGCACCGGCTCGGGAGCAGCAGCAGGCACCGGCTCGGGAGCAGCAGCAGGCACCGGCTCGGGAACAGACACCGGCTCGGGAGCAGCAGCAGGCACCGGCTCGGGAGCAGCAGCAGGCACCGGCTCGGGAACAGACACCGGCTCGGGAACAGACACTAGAACAAAAACAGTCACAAAGACAGACACAAAAACTGGGTCAGGCTCAGGAACAGGCACTGGCTCTGCCTCCGGCTCTGGAACGAGCACCGGCTCCGCCTCCGGCTCAGGAACGGGCACTGACTGTTCCACTGGCTCAGCCTCCGGCTCGGAAACGGGCACTGGCTCTGCCTCCGGGTCAGAACCCGCAGACACTGGCTCTGCCTCCGGCTCAGGAACAGCAGTGACTGGCATATCCAATATCCGAGCCAGACGCTCCAGGTAGTCCCAGTTCAGGAAGGCAGAGGAAACAGGGACAGTCTCTCACTGGGCAGACTGGACGGGGACAGTCTCTCGCTGGGCAGACGGGACGTGAACAGTCTCTCGCTGGGCAGACGGGACGTGAACAGTCTCTCGCTGGGCAGACGGGACGTGAACAGTCTCTCGCTGGGCAGACGGGACGTGAACAGTCTCTCGCTGGGCAGACGGGACGGGAACAGTCTCTCGCTGGGCAGACGGGACGTGAGCAGTCTCTTGCTGGGCAGACGAGATGTGAACAACCTCTGACTGGGCAGACGTGACGTGAACAATTTCTGACTGGGCAGACGGAATGTGAACAGTCTCTGGCTGGGCAGCCGGAAGTCTCCTCCTCCTCCGTCCTTTCTGACGGATGTGTGCCGACTCTGCACTGGACGAAACCATCGACGAAGTCCCAGCGCTCGATGAGACCCGTGGTGAGGCTTCAGCTGTCCTGATCTCCTCGTGCCTTTGTGCACATCTAGAAAAGTATTCTAGTAAAGAGATTCCATTCTCTCTCTCTGCAGGAGAAAGTTCGCTACGTGGAATCCACATAGTGACTGGGGACGAGATCTTACAAAAAATAATAAAAAATGAAAATTACCGCTGGATTTAAGGGATGACGGATTCGTTCTGTCACGGAACACACACAGGAGGCTGAAAATCCAAGTGCAGTAATTTTAATTTAAAGGGCAATCCAAACTCATAGTCATCCAGGCAGGGGTCAGTAATCCAAACAATCCAAACACAAGCACAAGCACCAAACCAGCAACACGAAAGCAGACCAGGAAGTGGTGTGACATTATACAACGAATCCGTACACATACAAACACAGACAGGGCATATATACACAGATCTAACAAGACTAACAATGAACAGCTGGGAACAATGATGACGGGGAACAGCTGAGTGCAATGAACTGATGAGTGACAGTGACAGACAGAATGCTGGGAAATGAAGTCAATAGTGAAGGACACCGTGATAACGAGGACCTCTAGTGACAAACAAGGGAACACAACCAGACACTGTGACAGTGAAGCCGGAGGTATTTGAAAACGATGATGTAAGTTTAGTCATGTGATCCGTGTTGTACCAATAGATATTCATGTTTACCGGTATAGTGCCTGTTATGTGCTATTCACTTTTACACTGTTGCTAAAATATGTTACTTTGCACATTCTTCATATCACAGTACTGCAAAGATGACAGAAAATGTACTCACATTTGCTGTCGTGCGGCAATACAGGAGAGCAGTTTTAGCGTTTTAGACCAAACATATGGTGACTGAGTGCGACCTGGACGCATCAGTGATGGTGAGATATTTTGCTAAATAAAATTATCCTGTTAGAAGAATTGCGCGATAACTTTATTTTATTTTTTTCCATCTGTTTCGTCTCGTTGAGTTTTCAGGCATGCGCAGTATGGTGAATTTAGAAGTTTCTCATCCACACTGAAACGTCGGAAAACGCTAGTGTGGACGGAGAGCGTTTTTAAACAAAAATGCCGTTTTCAAATGTAAATGATTGTGGACGTAGCCTCAAAAAGTTCTTAGAACGCAAGTGAACATAATACATATGAATCAAGCAGTTTAATCTAAGTTTTCAAAAGATTTTTTCAAACTTATAAACAGACATACACTCTAAAAGTGAACATTTTCAGTTGTTGCTTTAAGGAGGTATTTCTACCTGATTCTACCACAGTTCTAATTTTTTCATTGTAATAACCTACTTCAATCAGTTAAAAAATGTGATTTGGGATTATTAAACACATTAACTTGCATCAAGGTGAAAACAACAATTGACTGAGCTACTCTTTGCCACAATGGTAAACACAACATTCAATAACAGAAACTCCTCTAAATGTCATCTTCCCCTTTACTGAAAAACATAAAATAACACTTAAGGAGGACTCGGTCTCTTGGGAAGTGAATAACGGGGGCTGGTAACCGAGGCAAGCATGGAATGGGAATAACCCCGTGGCGGACGACGGGAGCGAATTGTGAGCATATTCAGCCCAGGAAAGTTGGTTGCACCAGGAAGCAGGACTCTTGAGAAGTCAGACTAAGCAACATGCGACCAAGAATCTGGTTGGTACGCTCAGCTTGCCCGTTGGTCTGGGGATGGAACCCTGACGACAGACTGGAGGATGCCCCAATCAGTTGACAGAATTCCCCCCAGAATTGGGAGACAAACTGTGGCCCCCTATTCGAAATGACGTCTGTCGGAAGCCCATGGATCTTAAAAAACGTGTTCGACCGTCACCTGTGCGTTTTTTCTAGCTGACGGTAATTTGGGACGCGAGATAAAATAAGCCGCCTTAGAAAATTGATCTGCCACTATCAAGATTACCATGTTCCCCGCTGACGGCGGAAGACCCATTACAAAGTCCAGAGCGATGTGCGGCCACGGACGAGAAGGAATGGGAAGTGGTCTAAGGAGACCCACGGGTGGAAAATGAATCTTCTTAGTCTGGGTGCAGACAGGACATGAATCTACAAAATGACATATATCACGCTCTCTAGTAGACCACCAAAATATTTGGCGAATGGCCAGCGTTCCTCTTAGACCAGGATGGATGGCTAATTTGGAGGAAAGACCCCACCGGAGAAGGGCCGAGCGAGTGGCTTCTGGAACAAACAAAGTTCCCTCAGGAACTTCAGGTGATCTTGTGATGTGCGAAAGAGCTCTTTTCAGTCTGACTCCCCAGACAGCAGCCCCAACCACACAATGGTGTGGTAGGATACCCTTTTTGGAAGAAGCCCCTTCAGACGAGCCGAACTGACTTGAGAGAGCATCAGGCTTACTATTCTTTGAACTGGGTCTGTAGAAGATGGAGAACTCGAATCAACCAAAGAATAGCGCCCGGTTGGCTTGTCGAGCGTTCAACGTCTTTGCAACACGAATACTCTAAATTATATTGATCGGTCCGAACAATGAAGGGAGCACTGGCACCCTCCAACCAGTTACGCCACTCCCCCAGAGCTAAACGGATCGAAGTTTGATGAGAAAAGCGGCGATGCGGAAAAACCCCCACATGGATGAACCTTGTAATCCCACGAGGAGTGTTGGGAAAGTATTGCCCCCACCCCTACTTCAGAGGCATCGACCTATACGATGAACTATCTCGTGGGATCCGGAGTGATTAAAAAGGGAGCGGAGGTTAACAACCTCTTGAGGTGATCGAACGCGTTCTGAACCACCTCGGACCAGGTAAAATGAGACCTGGTCGAGGTGTGGGCTGTCAGCGGGGCTGCAACCTGGCTAAAATTGCGGATAAACTGACAGTATAAATTAGCAAACCCCCAAAAATGTTGGAGTGCAACGCGAGAGTCCAGAGCGGGCCATTATTCAATTCAATTCAAATTTATTTGTATAGCGCTTTTCACAATACATATTGTTTCAAAGCAGCTTTACAGAAAGTGCATTTCAGAAATGTACATAGAAGAATAGAGTTAGTCAATCATCATGTATTAATTTAGGGCATAACATATCGCCGGCGTTGAGTCGTCTCTTCACAGGCGTCGAGTCGTCTCATCGCAGGTGTTGGGGCATCTGAAGTCTCCGTGAGAGGCTGGATACAAACTGGAGCTGACGAACGCTATTTACCTCGGGACTAGCGTCCCGAGATAACAGCAGAAAAGCAGATGGGAAATAATTAGCGTAGCTGCTGTTCATGATATTAATGCATTTGATCTGATTCAACAGTAGTACAAAAGATAAGCATTATGTGAATGCTTGGCTGAAGAGATGCGTCTTTAATCTAGTTTTGAACTGGGAGAGCGAGTCTGAGCAACGAACAATATCAGGAAGGCTATTCCAGAGTTTAGGAGCTAAATGTGAGAACGCCCTCCCTCCTTTAGTCGACTTAGATATCCTAGGATAGACCAGAAGCCTCGAATTTAGTGATCTTAAAGAACGCGATGGATTGTAGGGCGATAGAAGGTCCATTAAATACACAGGAGCTAAACCATTTAGGGCTTTATAGGTCAGTAGTAGTACTTTTTGTAATTGATACGGAACTTAATAGGTAACCAGTGTAGAGATGATAAAATTGGTGTTATATGATCATATTTTCTTGACCTAGTAAGAACTCTAGCGGCTGCATTTTGCACAACTGTAGCTTGTTTATTGAGGATGCAGGACAACCAGCTAATAAAGCATTACAGTAATCTAGTCTCGAGGTCATGAATGCATGAACTAACTTTTCTGCATCAGAAACAGATAGCATATTACGTAATTTAGCAATGTTTCTAAGGTGGAAAAAGGCAGTTCTTGTAACAAATGGCCGCTCATACCTTGTCGGGGTCCATGCTGATCCCATCTGCCAACACAACGGATTCGAGGAAGATTACCAATCATGTGGAGTGGAACATACACTTCTCAGCCTAAACAAAAATGCGATTTTTCAAGCAAACGTTGCAGCACGCGACGCACATGTTGAACTCAGAAGTGGTAGCCAGAGTCTGGAACTCGATCTGAAACGGATCTCTCCCCCTGGTGCAGCACAGCAAGAAGGCATGAGGCTTCGCGTCCAAACACAGAATGATCGAAGATCTTGATCATCTCCTCCTTGAACAACTCGTAGCGACCATAGCAGGAAGCCTGTGCCTCCCAAGCAGCTGTTCCACGGCCAGTCAGCAAAGAGACCACACAGGCGATCCAAGCACAATCTCCTACATAAGTCTGAGGCTAAAGGCAAAAAAACCACCTCGCATTGGGTTAAAAATGCTCTACATTCAGTGGGCTCACCCGCATAGCAAGGAGGATTATTTATTCTCGGTTCAGGTGAATGAAGACGATTCTGTGATGACGACTCATGATGAAGGTGAAGAAGTTGGGCAGATAAGTCAGACACTTGATCTGCTAAACTCTCCACAGCGTGTCTGGAGGCAGACAACTCCTCATGACTACCGAGAAAAGCCCCCTGCAACACGACCACCGAGTGGAAAGGTTCTTCCTTTGCTGGATCCATTGTGTGGTCGGATTATTCTGTCAGAAGAAACAGAGGATCAAAGTGCAAAGGCAAGTTCTTGGAATAGTCTTTAATGAAGAATTAACATAGGCAGTCTAGTTTATTTTTTTTAGTTTATACTTTTATTTAGTCCCATCGTTAGGAAATTTGTCTTGGACGACATGCAAAGTCCGTAAATACAAACAACATACATTAAAAGTGAGTAGAAACAAGTGGAATTATACAAAACACAGTTAAAATACATGTAAGACACAATGGCAATTCACAGTATTTTATCTCTATTTAACGCTTTGATTGCAATAGGAACAAAGGAATTTTTCAGTTGGACCTGCACATCAAGACCCTATACCTCCTTCCTGATGGTAATAATTTAAAGTGGGCATTCAGGATATGAGTATCGTCTTCAACAATTTTCTCGGCATGGTTTAAAATTGAAGTGGTGTGACACCAACCAACTAATTTTAAACATCCAAAAAACAAAGGAGATGGTCTTCCACCCGAGGCAAGTTACAGACCACAAACCAGTGGTCATTAAAAACCAGGAAGAAACTCAGGTGTCCTCATACAAATATTTAGGTGTCCATATTGACTGTCTTCTTTGTTGGAATACACATGTTGATAACCTGTGTAACAAACTGCAGCAGAGGCTATATTTTTTTAAGGCGCCTAAGGTTGTGTGGTGTGAGTAGTCATATCATGATGATCTTCTATCATGCAATCTTAGAGAGTGTCATCCAATATGGAATTACTGCATGGTTTGGCAACCTGACAGTTAAGGTGAAAAATAAGCTTGCCAACATGCACAAAATAGCCATGAAAATTATAGGGAGGAGAGAATATGAGCCTATACAGAGCCTGTATGGTCAGGCAGTTATGAAACAGGCTATGAAAATTAAATCAGACCCTCAACATCCCCTCTTTCCTGAATATGAAAGCCTGCCATCAGGAAGAAGACTCCGTGTACCAAAATGCAAAACTAATCGCTTAAAATTGTCATTTGTGCCAGTCTCTATTAAGTTGCTGAACGATGTGAAAGAAAACTGTGTGAGCACTTCAGCACTTTACTTGTGATCTCGGTGCAATAGGGCAACGTGCAATATATATACTAGCACCTTAGCATATGCACTTTACATAAACTTCAATACAATAGAGTAATGTGCAACAACCACACTAGCACTTAAGCACTTGCACTTTAATCCATGGAATTGTGCTGTCAATTATATCCCTTTTTCTTCTGTGTCTATATTTGCTTCTGTTTCTGTTGATGTGTTTTGTGATGTCTTGTATGATGTTTATTTTATGAAACAACTCTGCACTGTGCCCAAGCAAAATTTCCCCTCGGGGACAATAAAGTTAACTCAACTCAAAACTCAAGCATTAAACAACTCTTGTGGTGATAAATCTCCCCTCACCCCCTATATTTTGAAGGCGGTATACACCAAACGTCCTAACCTCGTTTTTATTTGGACAGTCTGTCGAGCAATGGCACACAACTGGAATAAATTCAAAGATAGTGTTCTTTGCAGAAGATCAGCAAAATTGGAATACTCCATTCTTTGTAATAGTTTGCAGAGCTGGTAATTCACGTGGCAGCAAAACAGTCCTTGTAAGTGGTTACAAAGCTGCAGAGAGAAGACTGTAGAAGGCCACCAGGGGGAGGATGACAGGGCTGAGAAAGCACACAAGACTAGCACAACTCCTCTAGGCTAGACAAGATAATAAAAGGTAAATCTTCATGGCGATAACATATCACACAGGCATGACTCACTTACACACGTAATAACTGACAAAGAACAAGGGGAACATACGCTAGAAGTAGAGAGGAAGTAATGAGACTAAAGTGAGAACAGGTGTCACAGAGAAGCAGTGCGAAGGCTAATTGCAACGATGAACAGTTGGAAAAATAGACAGACAGGGCCAGATCGAGAGAGGAAAAAAAGATAAAGAGAGAGAGACAGAGATAAAGAGAGAGTGAGAACAAACCCAGCTCATGACAGCACCAGAACAAACCTTATTGGTACTTGTGTATTAAGCACACACCTTTGAATCTCTCTGTTTACCAAGTTTAGATGTGAATCAAATCCTAAATTGAATATGTTCATAATACACAGCAATCGTGTCTCTTCAGAAGACTTGGATTAAACTGCTCGATTCATATGGATTACACACTACTTATGTTTTATGAACTTTTTTAAGTGTCAAAGTTTTAGGTAAATCTTTCAATGCCTGGACAGAAATCACAGGTTTCATAAAAAATTGTTTCATTTGTGCATCAAAGATAAACAAATCATTTTTGCATGAACTATCCCTTTAATTCTAAGATGTTTTTCTCTCTTCAGCTGTTCATCTTCACTGATGGAGAAGTGGGAAACACTAAAGAGGTGCTGGACCTGGTGAAACATCATGTTCACTCTCACAGGTAAAGGTCTGCTGGGTTTGATGTTCCCATCATTCATCTCTTCATCATTTACAGTAACAGAGTTTATTGTGTGTTCAGGTGTTTCTCATTCGGGATTGGTGAGGGTGCAAGTAGCGCCCTCATCACAGGAATGGCCAGGGAAGGATCTGGTCACGCTCAGTTCATCACAGGCACCGACCGCATGCAGCCCAAAGTAAAGCTCTACACCGGATTTCACAGGCACAAATGTTTCCTAGTCAAATGTCTCAATGGTTTTTCTTTCTCTTCAAACTATATCAGGTGATGCAGTCCCTCGGGTTTGCGCTGCAGCCGCCTGTGTTTAATATCTCTGTGGATTGGACCCTTCCAGATGGCATTACTGTTGACACACTGTCTCAACCCATCAAAGTGCTCTTCCAGGGTCAAAGGGCACTCATTTACGCCCAACTTAAAGGAGAGGTGGGATAATTTAGCATGTGTTTCTTTAATGAGAATTGGAGACCGGTGTCTCTCATTTGTTCAGATGATAAAATATCTGCCCCTCTTTTATAGAGTTCAGGAGGTTTCGAGGGAAAAGTGACAGTCAAATACAGGCTTGAAGATCAACCAGTAACAAACCAGCTCCACTTTTGCCTCAAACCAACTGAGGAAACTGGGTAACACACACAAACACGCAGAAAGACATTGTATTGGATGACATAAACTCAGCTTTTCAAATCCAACAAATTTCCTTCATGTTTTTGTAGGTTGTCCGTCCACCGGCTGGCGGCTCGCACCCGGATCCGTTCTCTGGAGCAGGAGGAAAGGTCACGTGGTGCAAATGTTGAGGGCATCAGGAGAAAGATAGTGGAGCTCAGTGTTCAGGCAGGAGTGAGCAGTGTTCATACAGCCTTCATTGCCGTTAATAAAGACAGCAGACAGACTGTGAAAGGACCCCTGCTTCGGAGAAGAGTGCAGACACACAGTCACGGTATGTCAGAACTGTATCTGGATGTACCCTGTACATATAACTTCATCAGGCTGCATGTGAAGGGCGTGTAGTTACCATATTGGAACCAAAAACATTAATTTGGCTTTTTTAATGTAAAAATGTCTCATCCTTTGTCATTATGAATGAATTAGTCAAAAATCACAACTTTTTAAATGCCAAGCTCCACTCACATTTTCTAGTTGAAATGATGATTTAAACATGCTATAATTCTTTGTCACTTAACAACTCATTTTAATGTGAAATTAATTTGTGTTTTAGGCCTGAATTTTAGAGCCTTCCCTTTAAGCCGGAATTTTGGAGCCTTGCCTTCTGGAGCCTTGGCTTGTAAGATAATATATTGACTCTTCTTTTCAGTCTCATATCAGTGCTGTTTGAAGGAGCTTTTCACCCATGGGAAATTCACCCATCAATCTTTATTGAAAGTGTGTCATATGTGTAGTTGAAATGTAACATACATTTTGAAATTGGTGCCTTCTTGACTGAGGAAAGACAGAAAGTAACTTTAGGGCGTATTTGTATGGAAGACAACAACTCCCACAATGCACCACATTGCACAGCTCCAAAAGCCACTCTCGCCTATGAGGTAAGAGAAATCACTCTTCCGTCTACAAGGGTAGCCACCACCACAGCTTGAAATTCATTTCACACCAAGTCTCCGTAAGCGCACAGTGAGAGCACAGACACCACCAGTCCGCCCCAGCTCGAGCCAGTCCGGGCTCCTCGTCTGCGACAGGAAACACAGTTAGAGGCCTATATGTTTGTACATAAGACTGCATCTGAGGACAGATTTTTATTATTACTCATTCAGTAAAAAAAAAAAAAAAAAAATTGTTTTGATTCGTTTTTGTTGTGGTGGTGCGTAAGTGATAGACCAAGAAATTAGTTTTGCATTCATTCAAATATATAGCTTTACATATGGTGTCTGTGCATGTTTGTTTTTCTATAAAGATGGCGAGATCCTAATGTGGTTCTGCAAGAAAAATAAATGTTTATATATTATTCCTGTTTGTTCACTTTTGTCTGAATGTGTTGGCAGATGCCCAGCAGCAGCCACAGTCATGTATCCAGCTCTATTCACCACTTTCTATGAGGTGTTCACTTTCGTCTGAACGTGTTGGCATAGCAGATTCCCAGCAGCAAATACTGTCAAAGATGCTGAAGACTGGCAGTTGTGTTTCACCAGTTTCTGGTAAGTGAACACACACACCGAAGGCCATTTCACAAACTTCTGTCAGGGCTCCGACATTGTGATGTACATCATCATTTATCATTCATTTAGAGATAACTAAACAAATGTGTTTAATTTGTGCTGATCATAAATGTGTTCATGCCTCATTTTTTTAGTCTGTTACTTTGAGTTTTTCTACTGAAACGAGAAACATACAGTCATTTTAGAGAACTTGTTGATTGTTAGTGAAAATATATTTTTTCATATTTACTAAAGACATTCATTTTCCATTTGAACAGGAACAGCTTGGCCTAACAAAAAGTAAGACAATGAATCCACAGTGATTGACATGTTTTTGTGATATGAGTGTGTGTGAGTTTTATTTCAAACTCTATGTGAACCTCTAATGCAAATTCACCTTATGGTCAATGATTGTTGTTGTCAGTTTCAGAGATTCTAGAGACTCTTATCAAGCAGACTCCCTAGGCAAACAAAGTGGTATACTAACACACACACACACACACACACACACACACACACACACACACACACACACACACACACACACACACACACACACACACACACACACACACACATACATGTTGGGTTTTGATGTTTTATGGGGACTTTCCATTATCCTAATGTGGTTCTGCAAGAAAAATAAATGTTTATATATTGTTCCTGTTTGTTCACTTTCATCTTAATGTGTTGGCAGATTCCCAACAGGAAATACAGTCAAAGAGGCAGAGGATTGGCAGTTGTGTTTCACCAGTTTCTATGTGTTTACTTTCTAGTAAGTGAACACACACACCGAAGGCCATTTCACAAACATCTGTCAGGGCTCCGACATTGTGATGTACATCATCATTTATCATTCAGAGATTACTAAACAAATGTGTTGAATTTGTGCTGATCATAAATGTGTTCATGCCTCATTTTTTAGTCTTTCACTTTGAATTTTTCTACTGAAACGAGAAACATACATTCATTTTAGAGAACTTGTTGATTGTTAGTGAAAATATATTTCTTCAGATTAACTAAAGACATTAATTCTCTTGTTTTCTTTCTTTTCAGAGACAATACCTCTGTCTATTGGAAAGTAAGACAATGAATCTAAAGTGATTAACATGTTTTTGTGATATGAGTGTGTGTGAGTTTTATTTCAAACTCTGTGTGAACCTCTAATGCAAAGTCACCTTATGGTCAATGATTGTTGTTGTCAGTTTCAGAGATTCTAGAGACTCTTATCAAGCAGACTCCCTAGGCAGACAAAGGGGTATACTAACACACACACACACACAGCCACACACACACACACACACACATTGGGTTTTGATGTTTTATGGGGACTTTCCATAGACATAATTATATTTATACTGCAAAACGATATATTCTATACCCCTAAACGCAACCATAACAGAAAAAAAAATCTTTCTAAAACTTTCTTACTATGATATATAAGCTTGTTTTCTCATGGGGACCTAAAAATGTCCCCACAATGTCAAAAAGGACTATAAAAAAAGGTTATTACTGGGACATTTGGTCCCATTTTTTGGGTTTACCACACACTAACTTCTAATCAGTTCAGTTCACGTTTATATCCATAGGACTTTTCACAATACACATCAAAGTTATGCATTTCAGAAATGTACATATACAAAGTCACAGTTAGCGAAAAAATTTATTAATTTAAACAATGTAAAATTTAATGCAGAAACAATGAGCTTATTGAAGTAATAAACACTTGTTTGTTAACAAATGACTATGACATTTATAAAATATAGCATTGAAATGAAGAGTCTTTTTATAATCTTGGAAATACATTTTATTTTCCCTTTTTTTTTTTTTTCAAGTTTGTCTATAATTGCCTTAAATTTTGGTAGGAAGATTAAACGAGTCAAAGAACCGATCAAGAATGTTATGCTATTATCTAATTCCTAACATAGTCCAATATTTTGAGTCGAATTAACCAACAAGGACAAAGAGGCAAGAAATTTCCAGATTTTTGTTGAACAGATTTTCCATGATTGCACCTGGATCTTATTTTCTCTCTCTTTCTCTATATGTGTTCAACTGCAGACCCGTTACTCCAGCTGGTTTCTCTCCAAAAGGCGTCAGGCTGCTGGGATCTGGACGTCACACTGGCTGATGCATTTGGGAAGACGGAGGAGGAGCTGACCAATCAGAAACCAGCTCAGGTGAGAGATGTGATGAATAATCAGACAGTGATGATTGTGTCCAGTAACTAATGCAGTGTATGATGGTTTGTACACAGGTGGAGGGGTCAGTATGGGCCACTCTCCTGGCTCTGATCTGGTTATACGGCTGTAAAATAGACCAGCGGGTCGAGTGGCAGTTTGTGGCCATGAAGGCGGCGTCGTGGATCGGCTCTCAGAAAGGTGAGATCTCCGTTCCAGACCACATTCACTCAGCCAGCGTTCATCAAGAGACGCTTGAGCAAATATCTGCAGTTCTTTAACACACTCATGATATGAGTGTGTGTGTGTGTGTTTCAGTGGGCGATCTGTCTGAGTGTGTGTGTGTGGGTAATGTCCTGCTCGGATGTCAGGTGACCAAAGAGACTCTGGGAATCTGAAGACGTCAGTGTTTCTACTTCCTGTGCCGTCAGAAGACGAAAGAACTGTTACAATTTCATTTACTGTTACTGTATATGTTAGTGTTTCATTAGAATTTAGTTCTTTATTAGCTTAAATCAACAGCATATTTTATGTAAAATATTTTAAAACTCTCATGATAATGTTTTTGCTGTTTTGAAATTGAAAATATTTTTAATCAGATTCATTGGATGAGTCCTCAATCACTGAGTATATACAAAGCAACAGAATCGTGTTTAGGTACTAAAATGATTATGTTCACACAAACATGTTAATGTTGAATTATGGCAGCAAAGACTACTATTAAAGTAATAAAATATCTTAATAATCTCTGTCATTCTTTTTCATGTAATGAAAGTAAAAAATACCATAAAAAAGTCCATACAGTACATTGAAGCCATTTAATACGTTACTATGTTTGAATTCCACACATGAAGTCCCTTCATTTCAACATACATTTCATTTCACAACTTGTTGAGTACAAATTTGATATCATGTTCTCTCCATTCCCCGATGCTTCATGAGCGAGCAGCATCTGGTGGTTTCTTCGCAATAAGATACAAAGTCACAAGGCACTTCCTGTAAATACATTATTTTTAAAACACCTGCATTTTTACTTCTATCTTTGGATTAAAGCATCTGATAAATGACTAATTGTAATTTCAGACTTTATTTTAATTCAGATTCAATTTACGGTCTATTTAGGCTAGTGTTGTTGCCTGTATACACTTTGACAAAAGTTATTGACAAAATTAACTCCACTGAAAGAACTTTAATGATTATTTTTAATAAACAGATTAAAATCCTTCGACTGACTGAGATAAATCACAAAACCTACTACTGTGTAAAACCAGGCTTTCTGACTCCATCTTGACTGACAATCTCACTATGCAAGTAAATATAAGAATTGCGAAGTAATTCTGATACATTTGATGTCATTTCACAGCCCCCCCCCCCCCCCCCCCCCCCCATTGTTTATTACTTGTCATGAGTTGTCACTGTATTGCTTATCAATATGTAACTTGATACAGCGAGTGTAAATGGGTCAACAGCACAAACCCCTCACAGTAAAATGTAATTTCCTTTAAAAGAGTGTAAATGGGTCAACAGCACAAACCCCTCACAGTAAAATGTAATTTCCTTTAAAAGAGTGTAAATGGGTCAACAGCACAAACACCTCACAGTAAAATGTAATTTCCTTTAAAAGAGCTTGATAATGTTGATCTCGTGTCTGAGATAAATTACCCAGGTATGGCTCACCTATGCTTACTGCATTTTTCCATCTTAAAAATATATCTAAATTACGACAAGCTCTCAATGACAAATGCAGAAAATGTATTTCATGCATTCATGAGCTCAAAACTAGATTATTATAATGCTCTACTCTACTGGGTGGTTGCCCTGCACGCTTAATAAACAAACTGTGACCATGTGACCTGTGCTATATTTTTTAGTCACTTTGGCCTTAGAAACATATTTTGAGTTGTATAATAAAACATAAAGCCTCAGCTTTTTAATAATATAATTATGTTTCCAATATATAATCATTTAAATGGACATCTGAATCAAAAGGTCTTGTCAGTGATTTACTAGAGCCGTTGGACCGGACCTCAATCACTGAGGATACTTTCACACAGCAGCAGACTTATTATGTTTAAACACAAATTGGTTAAGACAAATAGTCACAAATTGCATTCAATAACCAAAAGTATATAACATTTCAACACCCTTAAAATTACAAAAAATGAAAGGGCTACAATTAAAAAAAAGTTTCTAAAGAACAAATTCTATTTGTAAAGTACAAATAACTGATAAATCACCCGTATTGAAGTTGTCTGGAATTTTCCATTGGCTCAGAAGTTTGAGGGGGAGGCGTTTTTGAATATAACCTAAATAATATTCATGAGCCAAACTTATGACTCAGTTTAACCCTCATCTTCTCCTTGTCCAGAAATCTTATCATTTCATTTTGATATATTTTTTTTTCATTTTTAATGCAATTCTTTGGAGATGTTTTTTTAAAGTTTATTTTGTTTACCATAAAATTATTAGATTTTATCATTAACTAATATAATTTAAGTAAATTCATGAAATTTAATGACTCTTGCCACTAGATGGCCTTATAGCTCTATATGGAGCAAATAATGAACTGTTCCTTTGGGGCCTAAAGTCAGTTACTTCAGTTTTTCTCTTCAGTATTTCTTCAAGTATATTTAGACATTATAAAATATTTTTAGTTTTAGCATTTTTAGTTTTAATTTTAAGCGATTTTTAGGTTCTTCTGTTTATAATGAAGTGCCAAATATTATAATACTTCAAGTTAGGTGGACAGCAGGAGGAAAAAAAACAAGTAGGCCTACAACCTTGAATAATATTTATTTGAAAATGCTGATTTTAATTCAGAATCAAAAAATGTTTTTATAACTTCACCATTTATTTTGCATTTATGTGGGGGGTGGGGTGGTTGTTTGTAGGCCTAAATGTGTTCAAGTCTAACCATTTCATATATGTGTGGTCTGCATTATGTGACTGATTGATTTTTATTTGGAAAAAATTTGAAAAAAGAAAAACATAAACTACTCGAATCCAGTAAATTTTCTTTTGTGATTTTCAAGTTCAAGTGCGACAAAAGTGCTAAGTACTTCGATGAACTCATTTTAAAGATAAAATAAAACTGAGTTTCGGGTCAAAATGACCCGAGGAGAGTTAAACGGGCACGTGATATCACTCCTGCCTTCCGACGTAGCCTAATTAATATTCATGAGCAAAACAGCGGTGGTTACTCGGTGAAATCAATTCACTTTCCCAAACGTTTGGTCGCTTTTTAGAAACGTTCAGAACCACAGATTTACTAATGAATGAGTAGATCTATGAAGATTTGAGGCACATTTAAAGGTAGTTTCGGTGTTTGAGTTTCTCCTTCGATTTGAAGTAAAATCGTCATTTCGTTTAACGGAGCGTCAAAATGGTGAACTGCGGTCTTGTGACTCAGAAAAATGTGCCAGGTAAGTTATGAATTCTGTTTACTGTAACTTGAATTTAAACTTTAGTTTTTAACATGTTCGACGGCTGAGGTGTTTTTCCACACACGTTTGTCGCGAGGGTTTTATTTAGTATTACTATAATATGGGACGAATGTAGATTTTAACCGACAGATTATTCTCTAATTATATATATAAATTCAACGGTCAACTGGGACAAGTTGTTACATTTTAAAAATGGTAACTGGGGCCTGTTGTCACATGTTACGTTCTCATTTATTCAACTATTAATGTTGAATATATACCTTTTATTTATCTCTCAGAGAGCTGTATATAAGGTGTAACGTTATTTGTGATGTTGTTCTGTTGGACTGTGTGACTCAGTGCCTCTGAAGAGCATCTCAGTGGAGGTCCGTGTTCAGGATCATGTCTCCACAGTCTCCTCCACTCTGCTGTATGTGAATGAGGAAGAGCGCCCCCTGGAGGCCTTGTTCGTGTTCCCTCTGCCCGCTGATGCTGCTGTCTGCCACTTCAGTGCCAAGATCGGAGAGCAGGAGATTGTGGCAGAGGTGCAAGAAAGAGAAACCGTGAGTCCAAATATAAGTCTGCTGGACATTCATTTGCATATTTTTTGCACCACTTAACAAAATTGTGTTTTGCAGGCGAGGGATCGGTATGATGATGCTGTGAGTTCGGGTCAGCAGGCGTTTCTGCTGGAAGAGAGTGCAGAGAGTCCTGATGTGTTCGGACTGAGTGTCGGGTGTCTGTCGCCGGGTCAGAACGCTGCCGTCACCATCATCTACGTCACCGAGCTCGATGTGCAGGCCGACCACTCGCTGCGCTTCTGTCTGCCGGCTGTACTCAACCCCCGATACACACCAGCAGGTGCTACAGCTGCTACACACACTTTATTAGTGGAGACAAGCTGATTCTAACACGCACTCTCTCTTTGTGTGTGTGTGTGTGTCAGGTTCAGGAGCTGGTATAGTCTCAGAGATTTCATCAGTATGTGGAGCCGTTCCCTACACGCTGACACTCAGTGTCCATGTGAGCTCTCCAAAGCCCATCTCCAAATTAGAGTCCAACTGCACTCTGGATCCTCTAGTGTTCCTCCACTCGGATCACACTCAGGCTACGGTACTGCGTGTGTCTTCATGTGTTTATCTGGATGTGTGAGCACAGCAGTGTTATGCATGTGTTTTTATGTGTGTAGGTGAATCTGAGTCCTGGTCACATGTTTGATAAGGACGTTGAGCTGTTTCTGTACTATCAGGATACCCATCAGCCCTCTGCTATAGTGGAGGCAGGAGTGGCCACTGCCCCATCAGGTCGGACCTGCAGCTGAGCTCACTGGCATTATGGGATTGAGTGATCAAGGTTTCACTGACTCTCTCTCTCTATTTCAGGCTCTCTGATGAGGGACCCAGTGGTCATGATAAGTTTGTACCCAGAATTCCCAGAGGAAGTGATGTCATCACTGGCAACACAAGGAGAGTTTATTTTCGTGATGGACAGATCAGGCAGTATGGGCGATGTGATGCATCATGGAAAAGGAGCACAGACGCGCATAGAAAGTGCAAAGGTAAGATTTAAATGTGCATTTGGGTCTGTTGACACGTATTCAGATGAGACACACTAGAATGCCTTTCCATGTCTGTCTATAGGATACTCTGCTGTTACTGTTGAAGAGTCTGCCCATGGGATGCTACTTCAATATCTTTGGATTTGGCTCTCGTTTTGAGGCCTTCTCTTTCTAGTAACTATATCTCCATTCATATATATTCAGATATTCAATTTTTAAATCTGTCAGGAGTAATGTTTGTGTGTTTCACTGCAGTGAGAGTGTCGAGTACAATCAGGACACAATGGATCAGGCTATGAAGAGTGTGAAGAGAATGAAAGCAGACCTGGGCGGCACAGAGATTTTACAGCCTCTAAAATACATCTACAGTCAGCGCTGTAAGCCCAACCACCCCAGACAGGTACAACAACACCTCAACATGCATGAGTGAATGAATTGATTAAATCACTGTATGTACATTAATGACTTTTAAAGTGATACAGCTCAAATTTTAAAAGGATTTTCTTCCCCTGAACATCAATGCTCCATTGTATGTGTTAAAAAGATGTAGAGTGACAGATAAAGGAAGTGCAGTAATTTTATATTAAATCTGTCATGGACACTTTATTTAAACCAAGGGGGTAATCCATAAGCCGGAAGTTGAAGCCTCGCGGGAACCGCCATTGTAGCAGACCATCACCTGCTCTTAGCATTCCATTGACTACCATTCATTTTGGCGTCACTTTGACAGCGAATAACTTTACATCTAAGACGTCCAAAAACTCCATTTGTCCATTATTTATTTCTAAAGAAACACGACAATGTATAAAAGGCTCCATTACCTTGTATCTTACGTTGTGGCCCCGTAGAAGCCATTTTTGTAAAAATAGGCTAACGATTGCGTCATAACGAATCGACTCTCCGTCGCACAGTAGAGAAATTACCGTATAGACCGGAGGAGAAGCTCGCAGGCAATCGGGGGGACGTGGAGGCATAAAGTCGAGGGAGAAGCCCATAGAGAGTCATAAAGTTGATCCTGCTGCGAGCTCATGGACAGCTAATACTCACTCTCTCTGTCTCTGTGAGATTCGGAAGGGAATTATTCAGATTTCACTCGGCACAGCTACTAGAAGACATACAGGTTGCTCACGTGACAGGCTCAGTTTGACCTTGCGCAGTACGCCTGGCTATCAGCTTTTAACGGGCTTCAATTTTCTTTTATTCTATTTTTTTTTTGTGTGTGCTGTTTTCTTTACTCATAGCCAATACAACATCAGCTTTTATATCAAGATGTTGTCCAAATATATTCAACGAAAGGAAAAACTTTTAAAATGTTTGCTGCATGGTTAAAAAAATAGGTGATATAATCGTATAAAATTGCGTTTTGAGAGGAAAAATTATATGACATTACACATATACTGTACATAACACATTCGGCACGTTTACACGAATGAGCTGCATTACCACTGGGGGTTCTGATGACTGTAGTATTTCAAGGAGTACAATGGTGAAATACACATTCTGAAGTCATGAAATTAATTACTGTGAATTTTATTAACAGTAAATTGTTTGATTTTTCTCCTCAATTTTAATTAAGCTGTGCCTTCCTAACCTCCTCTGATGAGCTGCTATTGCAAGATATTGGTTAACATTTTTTCTGATTTTCAAATTTTGTCCAAAGGTGCTGCCAAAGGATTTCCCATGTCTGATATAAGTTTTTCTCTCTTCAGCTGTTCATCTTCACTGATGGAGAGGTGGAAAACACTAAAGAGGTGCTGGACCTGGTGAAACATCATGTTCACTCTCACAGGTAAAGGTCTGCTGGTTTTGATGTTCCCATCATTCATCTCTTCATCACTTACGGTAACAGAGTTTATTGTGTGTTCAGGTGTTTCTCATTCGGGATTGGTGAGGGTGCAAGTAGCGCCCTCATCACAGGAATGGCCAGGGAAGGATCTGGTCACGCTCAGTTCATCACAGGCACCGACCGCATGCAGCCCAAAGTAAAGCTCTCCACTGGATTTCACAGGCACAAATGTTTCCTAGTCAAATGTCTCAATGGTTTCTCTTTCTCTTCAAACTATATCAGGTGATGCAGTCCCTCAGGTTTGCGCTGCAGCCCCCTGTGTTTAAAATCTCTTTGCGCTGGACCCTTCCAGATGGCATTAAGGTTGAAAAACTGTCTCAACCCATCAAAGTGCTCTTCCAGGGTCAAAGGGCACTCATTTACGCCCAACTTAAAGGAGAGGTAGGATGATATTGCATGTATTTTTCATGTATTAATTAGATGCATGAATTAGAATCATTTCTGAATTTCTGAACATATGCTTATTTTTTTTAACTGATTAATTGGCGTTGTGGCAGACAAACAAGAATAAGAACTTAAATGTTTGTCTTTTTCACAAACAAAGCTATTGTTTGACTTGAGGAGACTAGGGATGGGTATCGAGAACCGGTTTTAAATTTACAAGAACTGGTGATTCGAAAAGAAACATGCATTTTGATTCCGCTTATCGTGTGCATTTTAATGTGATTGAAGTGCAAGAAGACCCGTGTACTGTTCATCCAAAGTGTGCGCACAACATCTTACTGAATGTTGCATGAGTTCTCTTCCACGTCTTTTTGAATTTGAATGGATAAATACACACAAAATATAAAAAAATATCCTCGTAAGCGCAGTCGGTTAAACATGTTTATCAATATATTGGGTTTGTCCAGCTTTTAAAGTGACAGCAGCCTAAAATTCTTGCTGCCATCTCTATAATGGTGTTAATCAAACAACAAAAGACAGAAAATTCACTCGCTGTTCTTGATTGAATAACTTTTGTTACTATATTTGTCATGTATATTTTATTTATAAAAAGCAGTGTTATTTTACATTTGATTACAGTTTCTGTAAATGAATACCTGAAAATCTTAAAACAGTTGTTTTCCAGTTGTATCTTGGTTCAGTTGTGTTCATTTGTGTGATTGATAATTTGTTTTTTTGTGCTTTTTTTAATTACTGAGTGTTTACTTGTCTTTAAAATTGCTTGAAATTTATATTAGTTAGGCCTTTTATTAGTGTTAGCCTGTTCATTTTTGTTCATGGTATTCAGCTACAATGAAAAGGTTTGCATTAAGACTTAGAATGAATGTGAATGACATCCAAGTTAGTTTTTTTATTACCTTTTTGGAATCGAAATTAGGAAAATCGAGAATTGGATTTGTTATAGTTCAAACAATACCCAACCCTAGAGGAGACCTATAATACAATTCACGAGTCATTTCAACCATGATGTGTTTATGGTGCTTTTGTGACCCTTTTTAAAGCCTGAAGGTTTAACTACTTACCTATTATATTTAAATGCTTTGAAAAGAGGCCAGAAAACTCCTTGTAGCGCATATATTTTAGAGCTTTATTTGCTATTAATCAATCTTTATACTTTTACTGTCTCATAGAGTTCAGGAGACTCTGAGGGAATGGTGACAGTCAAATACAGGCTTAAAGATCGACTGGTTACAAACCAGCTCCACTTCTGCCTCAAACCAACTGAGGAAACTGGGTAACACACACAAACATGCATAGAAGCCCATTCAATTGGACTGACATACACTGTTTGCTTTTCAAATCCAACAAATTTCCTCCATGTTGTTGCAGGTTGGCCGTCCACCGGCTGGCGGCTCGCACCCGGATCCGTTTTCTGGAGCAGAAAGAAAGGGCTAGTAGTGCGAGGCTGAAGAGCGTCAGGAGAAAGATAGTGGAGCTCAGTGTTCAGGCAGGAGTAAGCAGTGTTCATACAGCCTTCATTGCCGTTAATAAAGACAGCAGAGAGACTGTGAAAGGACCCCTGTTAAAGAGAAGAGTGCAGACATACGGTTAGTGCGACGATTGTGAACCTGTGAGGATGTCTGTGTCTGTTCATATTATAAATTTAAATCCAATGTTCCCTTATACATTGCATATGATAATCACAATCAATTTCTGTTTTAGGGTTTCGACATTTTCCAAACAGACCATTGTTAAGAGGCGGAGGTCCCGGCTCGGATTGTGTGAGTATGAATCATTTTTACTGCCTGTTGACTATTTGCTACAGTACATGTGATGTTTTCTCCATATTAATGTGTCAAATTAAGTTTTGGAAATGTATTTAGAAAGTTCAATGTTGCCTTTAAGATGTGAAATAAATGTGTTTTTTAGGAAAGCGATGAGGAGCTTTCAGGGGTAAGATAAATCATATCTCATGTTTTTGTGCTCTGAATGTGTATCGAGCAGTGTTTTTTTGTGTTTGAATGACAGCAAGGATTTTAAAAGCTTTTCATATCAATTCTCAGTTTGCAATGTAAAATGTATTTTTGTTTTTGTTTTAGGGAGGATGTGGTAAGTGATTCTCTTCAATCTCTTTGTGCCTGTAAGAATGTATTTGTGTTGTGTGCTAAAACAAGAGTCACAACTTTCTACTTGCATCCATTCTGTAATATTGACTGGAAATGACGGAATGGTGAAAACAGCTTTTTTTTTAAGGATTCATTAACATTTGAAAAACAAATATTGGCTTCGGCCTTTAGGATTATACTAAAAAACATTTCAGTCAAAAACGGCCATATCAATCCATCCCTATTGCAAAGGCTTTTCTTGTTTGTTAGTTCTTTTGGATGTGTCTGTTCTTGGCTGTTTCTCCAGATCTGAATCTGTTCTGACCTGTGGTTTCTCTTCTAGTAGACGCACAGTCACGGGTCAAGTCTACGTCACGGCTGGGTAAATGGCACCCCAATGTAGTATTAGTTTTGTGAAATTTGTACATTTAATTATTGCTTTATTTAATTGTTTGTTCATGCAATTATTTTATTAGAGTAATTTAGTTCTTCAAATTATCAAGACTGTACATTTAATGTGTTTATTTATAAAAAAAATACCTAATGAGACACAGTGAATAGAAGAACGAGACTGAAGCGCAGTCCAGCTGCTACTACAGAACCAAACCACACTCAACAAGAGCACAGAATGCTTGTGTCGAACCATTTGTGCTACAGACATGAACAAATCCCTTACACTCATGTGGCTTGTTGAGGTGAGGTGTGCTGTTATTTTCTAAGCTATCAGATGTAGGGTGTTCATTTGGTAGCTGGTAAGAAACCACCCACAGTATGTTAGCATTGTGGATACACACTTTCATGCCAAGCAGCACTTACATTAGTTCAGAACATGTATAAAATTATTCAAATTATAATGTCAGAATGTTTCCGTCGCATAATAGTATATATTCAGTATATGCATCTTGAAATGTGTTTGCCTTTTAGGTAAGCGACGTTGGTCTCACAACTTGGGTAAGAACGTGTGTGTGTGTGTGTGTGTTTAATATAAATATTTGTATAATTTTTATATTATATTAATTTATTAGAACCTGATCCCCAGAAGGACTTGTTACTGAATGCACATATAACTTATCTTTCTCTATATGTGTTCAACTGCAGACCCGTTACTCCAGCTGGTTTCTCTCCAAAAGGCGTCAGGCTGCTGGGATCTGGACGTCACACTGGCTGATGCGTTTGGGAAGACGGAGGAGGAGCTGACCAATCAGAAACCAGCACAGGTGAGAGATGTGATGAATAATCAGACAGCGATGATTGTGTCCAGTAACTAATGCAGTGTATGATGGTTTGTACACAGGTGGAGGGGTCAGTATGGGCCACTCTCCTGGCTCTGATCTGGTTATACGGCTGTAAAATAGACCAGCGGGTCGAGTGGCAGTTTGTGGCCATGAAGGCGGCGTCGTGGATCGGCTCTCAGAAAGGTGAGATCTCCGTTCCAGACCACATTCACTCAGCCAGCGTTCATCAAGAGACGCTTGAGCAAATATCTGCAGTTCTTTAACACACTCATGATATGAGTGTGTGTGTGTGTTTCAGTGGGCGATCTGTCTGAGTGTGTGTGTGTGGGTAATGTCCTGCTCGGATGTCAGGTGACCAAAGAGACTCTGGGAATCTGAAGACGTCAGTGTTTCTACTTCCTGTGCCGTCAGAAGACGAAAGAACTGTTACAGTTTCATTTACTGTTTTTCCTTTACTTGTTTCCTTAAGGTTTAATCCATTTAATTTGTTCAAATCAACACCGATTTGTAAAAATATATGTGAGTGACCTGCAAGATCATTTGAGTTTTATGCACCAAAGTAAAAGTAGTTTTGGCTTTGTTCTTATATAATCCCCCCCCCCCAACATACAATCATTTAAATGGATCAGGTCACACATAAAAACTGTTCTGTTCTGTGTTTTTGCAGTTTTGAAATTGAAAATAATTTGAATCAGATTTAAAAAAAAGTGTTTTAAAAGACGAGTCCTGTTGGTTCTGTATGGTTTTCAACATTTCAACACTCTTAAGAGTATTAGCCAAGTAATAATGTAGTAATAGTAGCATTGGTTATTTGCTCATGTCTGCTCTGCCGTTATTTATTTATCTGAATGAAAAACAACTGCATTGTTTTAAACATGTATACGGTTGCAGTTTATGCTTAACATTGACACTTTCATTACCATTCCAAAATAATCCATTAACAGTTGCGATTTGAGGAGCGTGCACTAATATTTTCAGTTTTACTCGTTTGCATGTTGTTCAATTTAACCACTTGTAATTCAATTTTAACATTTTAGTTGTTGTGGTAAACTTGTGAAGGTGCTGCAGGGTTGCTCATTTCATCAAATCCCCATGTTTCTTGTCGTATAGAGAATTGTGTGTTTTGCGGAAAAAGATGAAGGTTTACATCAATTAGTTCATGCATGTCAAAGACAAACATTTCTCATTGTGATTGAATACTAATGTCTGGTTGAAGTTACTCTGGCTACCAAATGGGGACTGACAAAATATAATCCCCACGGAAACTTTATTGCGCCACCACAGATACATTCAAGAAATGTATCAAATTACATTTTAAAAGATCAAAACAAGACAGAAGTATAATTAAAACACAATATGGCTTACGCTCATAGGCTGTGCTGCCGCAACTGCACAACCAATGGCGCGGGCGACTCTGACCTGCAGCCAATGAGCTAGCTCAACGTCAGAGCCCGTCAAGTGGGTGTGGCTTAGCCTATAAAAGACCCCCGAATTCGCCATTATAGCAGATTTTACTCCTTCAGCGACAGTATACATGTCCCTGAGCCTTTTACTGTGAATTCGCCGTCGAACAAGCCTTTCAGCCTGAGCGAGCTTCTCTTCAGCAGACTTCGCCTGCAAGCCGTCGTCTCCTGACGCCGTCTCACCTGTGGCTATCCGGCGACATCCTATATCCTTTCTATTATTGTGTTTGTTTCAGAATGCCTCGTTCATCCTGCGCCACGTGCGGAGGCCGTCTGCACGAGGCAGACCAACACGAGAGCTGCGTTTCCTGCTTGGGTGTCGACCACGCGGAGAATGCACTCTCTGTCGGCGGATGTGCGGCCTGCGACTGCATGCCTATCTCCGTGCTGCGCAATCGGCTAGCTCTCTCTCGAGACGGCGATGCCGCTTCAACCACGCTTCCCATTCCGAGGAAGAAGAAGCGTCGCAGCCAACGGCAACCGGAGGGTATGGAGATTGGTGAACGCACGCCGGCCGCGTCCCCGCGTGCTTCACTTTCTCCGACTCAAACGCCTTCACCGGTCCTGTTCACAGGAGACCAGCGCCCCCCCCCCCACACGTGGCGGGCCTCGTCTCCTTCGGCGGATCTCTCGAGCGCGACGACAGCATATCCATCGCCGCTTCTGAGGACGAATGGCCGGGCTCTCTCGACCCCGTCTCCGCTTCTCAATCTGTGGCCAGTGGATTAGCGACCAGGACAAACTCCGACGCCGAAATGCTTCGGATCCTGACGAAGGCCGTCGCGGACCTCGAGGTAGAGTGGGCCTCGCCCGAGGAGCCGCCTCGTAGTCGGCTGGATGGATGGTTTCTGGAGGGGCGCCAGCAGGCCCCGCGTCACAAACCGGCGCCATTTTTCCCCGAGGTCCACGAGGAGCTAACCAAGGCCTGGCGCGCTCCATACTCAGCACGTGTGGGATCTGCAGTTTCCGCGACGCTCTCCTCCGTGGATGGCGCAGCGGAAAAGGGTTATGAGTCTTTGCCGCCCCTCGAAGAGGCCGTGGCAGCTCATCTTTGCCCGAGCACTGCAGCTAGCTGGCGAGCTAGAGCCGCTCATCCCAACAAACCCTGCCGAAACACCTCAGCCCTCGCTGGACGCGCGTACTCCGCCTCCGGTCAGGCTGCATCGGCCCTGCACACGATGGCCGTGTTGCAGGTCTACCAGGCCAAACTCCTCCGGTCCATGGACGAGACTGGCCCGGACCCGGAGACCTTTCGAGACCTGAGGAGTGCTACAGACTTAGCGCTGCGTGCTACTAAGGCTACAGCACAGGCCATCGGAAGAAACATGGCGAGCTTGGTCGTGCTCGAGCGCCATCTTTGGCTTAACCTCACCGAGATTAAGGACGCCGACAGAACGAGGTTTCTCGACGCCCCGGTGTCCAGCTCCGGGCTCTTCGGCCCGGCGGTGAAAGGATTCTCGGAGAGGTACACAGAGGCACAGAAAGCGTCCCAGGCCATGCGACACTTCTTGCCGAAACGTTCGAGCTCCGCGACCAGCAAGCCCAAGCCGCCGCCTTCGCCTCATCCAGCCAAGCCGGTGAAACAGGCCTCTCAGCCCCGCCCTGCGGCTGATAGCCAACGCCAGCCAAGGCCCGCGAAGCGCTACCCGCTCCCTAGGCGTCAAGGCCCTCGACCCAGCGCCGCGGCCGACCAGGTGCCTCCGAAGTCGTCCTAGCACGGAGAGGAAAGAGAGAGGGCTCGTGTCTCGCGCTAGCCGGACCACCCTCGAAAAAACCGGCAAAACTTCCCACAGCTCCCTGTTCAGTTCAGGCGGCTGGGGATTTTATTATTGTAAACAGGCCCGCAGCAGTGAGCGCGTCTTTGCAAACAAACGCCGTTTTCACGGCGACCCAAATAAAGCACAAAAAGAGTATGTTTCACAATCACATCACACGGGTTCACGGTCCCCCTTCACTAGGCGGCCCCCGGCCTGTTGTAAGACTGAAATCCCCCCGGGCAAAAGCCGGTATAATCAGTCAAACACTCAGTATGTGCACAAATCACAGTGTAAGGGTATCAGGTCCCCCTATGTTAGGCGGTCCCCCCCATTCAGTGTGTCAAGCCCTAGCCACACGGGCGTTGGCCTGGCAAGCCATCCCTGGTGTGTCGAGTTGGGTCATAAACACTATAAAGCGAGGCTACTCGCTCCAATTCGCTCGCAGACCCCCGAAATTCCAGGTGGTTATCGAGACATCGGTGAGAAGCGGCGTGGGTCACGTGCTTCGCACCGAAGTTCAGAATTTATTAGCAAAAGGAGCGATAGAGTCAGTCCCTCCCGCGCTAATGTATTCGGGGTTTCACAGCCGCTATTTTCTAATTCCAAAGAAAGACGGCGGGCTCAGACCCATACTAGATCTGAGACGTTTGAACAGGGCTCTCATGAGACGGCCTTTCAGAATGTTAACACTCAAACAAATTCTCGCGCAAGTTCGCCCGGGGGATTGGTTTGTTTCAATGGATCTGAAAGATGCATACTTTCATATTCAGATCGACCCTCGTCACAGGCCATTCTTGAGATTCGCCTTCGAGGGGAGGGCATATCAATACACCGTTCTGCCGTTCGGTCTGTGTCTGGCACCCCGTACATTCACGAAATGTATGGATGCAGCGCTCTCCCCGCTAAAAAGCCAGGGAGTGCGTGTGCTGAATTATCTCGACGACTGGCTGGTGCTAGCGCAGTCGAGAGACGAACTAATAATTCACAGGGATTTGATTCTCGGCCATTTAAAATGCCTGGGTCTCACAATCAATGTTGCCAAAAGCGAACTGAACCCCAGCCAGACTGTGGTCTTTCTGTGCACGGTTTTGGACTCGGTGACAATGAAAGCGCGGCTCACTCAAGAGCGCGCGCTATCTGTGCAGACACTGGCAGCCGCATTCAGGGCGCGCGAGTGCGCGCCTCTGAAGAGGTTTCAGAAACTGCTTGGTCTAATGGCAGCCGCATCATCAGTACTCCACATGGGATTACTGCGCATGCGCCCGCTGCAGCACTGGCTGAAACGCCGTGTGCCAACCCATGCATGGCAGTCAGGCAGCCTGCGCATTATGGTGAATCACGGGTGTTTAAGAACACTGATTCCCTGGCGGGCTCAGGACTGGTACCGCGAGGGGGTGACCATGGGGGTAGTTTCCAGGAGGAAGGTGGTTTTTACAGACGCATCCAACCTGGGTTGGGGAGCGCTGCACGAGGGCAGGCCTGCCTCCGGCCTCTGGTCGAGCACGGAGCAGAGCTTACATATCAACTGTCTGGAAATGAAAGCAGTTGGTTTGGCCCTGAAAGCATTTCTGTTAAACCTCAGGGGTCACCATGTCCTGGTCCGTACGGACAACATGTCAGTGGTGGCCTACATAAATCGCCAGGGTGGCATCAGGTCGGGCAACCTGCATGCTATGGCGAGGGACCTCCTCCTATGGGCACAGGCCAACCTGAGCTCCCTGAGAGCAGCGCACATCCCGGGCGTCCAAAATCTGGGCGCGGATATGCTCTCACGGGGCAACACTCCCCTAAGCGAGTGGTCTCTGAACCCTCAGACGGTCAGTCTGATATGGGAGAGATTCGGCGAGGCCGAAATCGACCTTTTCGCCTCGAGAGCCAACACCCACTGCAGGGTGTTTTTCTCGAAGAACAGGGACGCGCTGGCCCATCCCTGGCCCAACCGCCCCCTTTATGCTTTCCCCCCCATCTCGATGGTCCCACAAGTCATCGAACGGGTCAGGGAGAGCGGATGCCCAGTCCTTCTGGTGGCTCCTCTCTGGAAATCCAGACCATGGTTTCCGGAGCTGGTTCAGCTGTCAGACACGGTCCCCTGGCCCGTTCCAATGAGTAGGGACCTCCTCACACAGGCCAAAGGGACGATATGGCACCCCCGACCCGATTTATGGGCCCTCCATGTGTGGCCCCTAAACGGGTACCCGGGGGCCTTCCTGACAAGGTCTTAAGCACTATCTCTGAAGCAAGGGCCCCGTCTACTAGGCGTCTTTATGCTTTGAAGTGGTCGGGTTTTTCCAGCTGGTGCTCGAAAAATCGAGTTGACCCAGAGTCATGTGAGGTATCGGTGGTACTCTCCTTCCTG